TAAAAAAAATGTGTATAGCTGAATCAAATTTAATTTTTCAGTGTAATTAAAGTATTTTATAATGATCTTTATAGAGTAAATTGTTGTGCAATAAGGTGATGAATGTACAGTCACAATCCAAAGTTTCGACACCCCCCCCTGGATGGGTGTTCGCCGAGGCCAGAGTTGAGGTAAGGCTGGGTGATCGGACGCAGACTAGTTCAGCAATGTGGTAACGAGGCATAACGATGGTGAGGTTCACATTCCACCACCACAACACTCCGAGACTCATAGCACACGAGCACAGGAAGGAACTTATTACGAACTTTAACATGGCATGAACTTGCATAACAAATGCATTCACAACAATAACATGTTAAGATTGGAGCATGAAAAACTTTGCCCGGTCCCAAAACACTGGTTTGGAACCACTAGATGCGAGTCCTCGTATTACACGTGAATCATCAGGGCAGCATATATAAAGGGTGGCCGGCGGCCGAATTTCGTCAAGAGGGAGTGAGCTGTCAGTCGACAAGGTGAGGCCTATACATGTACAGTATAGATATTACCATAACCCTGTGAATATTATGGTTTCACACATCCTAGGAATTCATATAGTCATGTTAACAATATCTAATGGTGTATCTGTAACACATTGGAGTATTTTGGCTTGGAATGTTGCACTTCACATCAATCATGGTGTCACCCAATCACTTTTTGTCTGGTCCGGAGCAGCGACTTTGCCCAAGACCTCGACCCTCAGCGTAGATGCCTGGCCGTGTGTCATCACTAGTGACTACTTCTTGGTCACTTGCCTTGCTTCCTGTCTACTGCTGCTTTTAGTTTTTAAATTTCACTTCATAATGTCTCGGATTATGAGAGTTATGGCACAGAGGTCACCACTATTACAACTAGTTATGCATATGATTATTTTTTATATTTCACCTGAATGATAAATATCTATGACATCCTAATCATGGTGTTTGGTAACTTGGAGCTAATGTCCAACAGATATGGATATTCTGGCTGGAGAACGTGGGCTACGTCCACCTAACACGACGATGATTGTTGACTGTTAATGTGCATCTTTGTGATGGGACTTATTCTTTGTCTGTAGTAATGTCAAGATACTTTTAGTCCATCAACACTTGATGTTTATCAATAGTCATATTTCATAACTGTACATGTTATGGTAAAGAGAGAGAGAGAGAGAGAGAGAGAGAGAGAGAGAGAGAGAGAGACATCAAAGCCGTGTGTAATATAACTGAAGTTTTCTGAAATGAACAAAACAAAACAACAACCTAATCTAACCTAACCTGACCTATACAAATCTTTCCAAAATAAACTAGATTGCCATTTCCTCAGCCCTTCACTCCCACCAATTAACAACTCTCTTTGCCCAGCCACCGACAATTATTCCTACATTAATGCCAATTGTATGTAATTAGTCAGGTTTATCTAATTAGAGCTTTACACGCTCCTGCCCCAAAGGTGTAATTAAACCAAGGCGACTATAATGATCACTAAATAGACTTTGATGTATCTATCTATCTATCTATTTATATATCTATCTATCTACCTATCTATCTATTTATCTCTCTCTCTCTCTCTCTCTCTCTCTCTCTCTCTCTCTCTCTCTCTCTCTCTCTCTCTCTCTCTATCTCTCTCTCTCTCTCTCTCTCTCTCTCTCTCTCTCTCTATTCATTATTGACTTATACTTATTGAGTGACTGAATAAGTATTTTGAAAGACCAAGAAACTAAAAATAAATTATCTTAAAGTGAAATTCAAGGAGGAAATCTTTGACCCTTGGCGCTCATATATTAACGTAGGGATGTTTAGATGAGACTCTTTACCTAAGTGTGTGTGTGTGTGTGTGTGTGTGTGGAAAAACCAGATACCATGACCGACACACAAACACACACACAAATAATCAGAGGAAAGATGGACGCAGTAACAATAACAGCAAAAATGTTGATTATTTGCGTTATATTATTGTAACCAATCTTATGTCCCAATTGCCACGAAAAAAAAAATAGTCAAGACAAGCTAAGAAAAAAAACGAAAAAAAAACGAAAAATAACGAATAAAACGAAGGTACAAGAAATGGAGAAAAATTCTGAAAATCCTTGTGATAAGTTATGAAACCACGAATAAATGCCAAAATATATAAGACAGTGGTTTGGCAAGGACTCGTGTAAGTTTAGGTCAGGTTAGGTTAGGTTAGGTTAGGGATCACAAGTTGGTCACAGCACGAGGTCAAAGGAACAACCACGAGAGAAGGTACAGAGACGCAAATGTTGAGGTGGACAATGGAACTGACGCTAATGGAGAGGAAGAAGAATGAAGACATGCGTAAAGCGACGGGAGTCAGGAGAATTAGAGAAAAGGAGCCAGAGAATCTATAATGACAATGTGGTGGCTGCCATGAGGAATTTGAAAACCAAAATTATAGGTACGAGAAACTAAGGAAACTCAGGAGGAAAAGTGGAAGAAAATGATGAAGAAAAAACATACAGAGAAGGTTAGAGTAACAACAGCAGCCACCACACACCGGGAGATGCATTTGACAGTCATACCATTGTCTACTAGGAACAGCTGTTGAATTAGCAATAAATATTAACTAATCGAGTATTCCTTAACCTTATATCATGTGATAAAATAACGCTTGAATATTTGAGAACCAAGATCTTACATTATTAATTTCAACAATTGAGTTCCGTGGGTTCCGTGGGTTCCGTGAGCTCCGTGAGAGTTCCGTGAGTTCCGTGGGTTCCGTGAGTTCCGTGGGTCCCGTGGGTGTCGTGAGTTCCGCCGTGAGAGTTCCGTGGGAGTTCCGTGGGTTCCGTGAGTTCCGTGGGTTCCGTGGGTCCCGTGGGTGGTGGTGAGCGAAGGCTAGAGAGACGTTACGAGCGAAAGAGTTTGTAAACACTATTACTTGTGGAGCAAAAAAAAAAAGAGACCTATTTCCATCCTCCATTAATCATTCGAATAAATCGTCTTGTTGAGCGTAGAAAATTCTTCTCTTTTATGACTGTTTTTTAATCTTACATCGATAAAAAGTTACATTAAGGTATTGTTCTACGATTCAATGCTGCTCTTCAACAAGTAAGATGCTGCACCGAAGAGAAGACGTTATATAGTTCATTTCCTTGACGATTACATGAATAGAGATATAGGTTATTTCTCAAAGCTATTTCACGTTTTCTATACCCAAGAAAATTGGCCTTATGGTTGGTGTTTACAATCAAGCCTCAGCTCAGAGTGTGTGCCTTCCTTAGTCCTTGTCGAGTCACAGTACTATTTTGGTACCATTTTAGGATATATTTCAGCGGTAAGTGAGTGATATTAGATACTGTTCTCATATTACTAGTTAGGTGAGAAATTTCATTCAGTTACTTTCTCCCATCACCAGTTAGGGAATGTGTCTTAACTCACGAACCTCAGAATACGAATTTAGAATCTTCAAACGATCTGGATTTTTAGTCTGTGGAGAAAATCACTTAATAGTGGTGAAGAGTTGGCAGTGGCTCCTGTGACTGTGCACACACACACACACACACACACACACACACACACACACACACACACACACACACACAGATTATAAGGCCTTTTCCTCTCTAGACATGTTATTACCTCAAGCAACCAGATTTATTGGCAGGTAGCAAGTGATCAAGACACAATATCCTATCTTATGTGAATATCTGTCTCACGATATTCAGAGAAAGAAAGAAAGAAAGAAAGAAAGAAAGAAAGAAAGAAAGAAAGAAAAAGAAGTTGATGAAGGCAAAAGAAAATAGAGAGAAGAGTCGAAAAAGAAAAGAGAGAAAGGAAAATAAGAAAAGTGAGAGAGAGAGAGAGAGAGAGAGAGAGAGAGAGAGAGAGAGAGAGAGAAGATACTTTGATGAAATTATCTGAACCGGAAGCTCAAAGGCAAGTGTGATACGAGTAACATTTACTACAACACAGACGATGACCCGTAAAAATATTTATGACCTGGAGTAAAAGGTCTAAGTTCATATATACATTGGCGAGAAGAGAGTACTATTATACACTCAACTGTATAAAAACTGTAATTTGAGCTTCTCCCAAAAAAGTTATTATACATCATATTTGTATCACTTATGTTACCCATTCCCTAATTATGTAATTGTATATTTTCAGCCTTCCGGCTGCCATGCTCTTTCAATAAACCGTTAATTATTATTATCATTATTAATATTATTACACACACACACACACACACACACACACGCACACACATCGGTTTTCACATCTATACAAAATAGTTTGCATGGATTCTCACGAGAGTCGTATAAGGATTTAATTAAGAATCCATATTCAATATCTGTCTTTTATTCGTCAAGTTATTTTACTTTATGCTCTACAAGAATTACTCCTTTTTTCCCTTACATAATTATATCCCACGACCTTGGGTTAATATCGGGCTTTATAATATTCCATTAAAGACTGAAGGTTCACGGTGAGCGAGCGAGTAAAAATCAGCGGCGCCTTAGAAGTGTGGTAAAAACGTGTTCCTGACTCAGACTTCCACAACTTTTGAATTGGGTAATTAAACTTCCCCTCATCGAGCGTTTGTTTGGCCAACACATCAAACCTATGTTGGAACAAAGGGAGTTTTCCTTTGCACGTCAGTTTGGGCAAAATAACGGGTCGCTAAAGTTGGCAAATAACAGGAGAAAGTTGGTCACAGTGTGTGTCTAATGTTTGGTTTGTGCGTCGGGTCTCACCCAAGGCTGTTGCTTGCTATACTTTCTTGGTATTAATCGCATGTCTTGGTGTATCTTGGGATTTTGTGCTTCAAGATCATTCCCATTAATGTGAAAATGATACAAAAATATCTCCTGGATTACCTTCTCACAAAAACAGTCATTGGTGTGTCAGCCTGTACAAGCAGTTGGTATCCCGATTATTCCCGCTGCTCTATTGTACAGACCTTCCAATTTGTTGATCTCTCTCTCTTACACTCCCCGTCACACCTGTGTCCCTCGTCTCCAGGTGCTTCAGTAGCCCAGGTAACAGCGACAGATCATGACGACCTGCAGGAGGGCAACAACGCTCGTCTGGTGTATTCCCTGGAGAAGAACGTCATAGATGAGGCCTCAGGAAGACCCATTTTTGCCGTCGATAGTCAACTGGGGCTCATCACTACAGCCATTTGTTGCCTGGATAGAGAGAAGGCCCAGCGATACGCCATACAGGTGGTGGCGACGGACGGTGGAGGACTCAAAGGTGTGTAGTATTACCTGTAGTAGGTCTGTATAAGCCCCTGGTAGTGTCTGGTAATATTTGATACGTGTGTGTGTTTGTCTTGTCTTTATTATATAATGTATTAATAGTAGGATTGCGGTAAATTATTCAGCACGTGTTACAAGGCAGTGTGTTAAGCTGATTGTATTTTACTTAATTATTCTATATATTATTATTGGTTAGTATAAGATAATAATGTTAATGTCATACTTGGACAAATTGTAATCAAACTCTCTCTCTCTCTCTCTCTCTCTCTCTCTCTCTCTCTCTCTCTCTCTCTCTCACCGACAGGCACAGGGACGGTGCTGGTGGAGGTAGGTGATGTTAACGACGCCCCACCGAGGTTCTCAAGGGAGGAGTGGAAGTTTCAGGTCCCCGAAAGTCTCACCCCTGACCACCCCTTAGCAGCCCTCACCGTGTTGGATCAGGACCTTCTCAACAACTTCACCTTCAGGGTCAGTCATACTCCCCTTTCCTGTATGTTCAGGGTCACTTCCTCATGTCTTTCATCTTAAGGGTAAATTAGGTCTTTTCGGCACTTTTTGGGTCAATTTCCTCATTATTTAGCCATTCAGGGTTTTGTTTTAAGTCATTTTCTTCACTTTCAGGGTCAAATTTCTCATTTTCTTTACTACCAGCGTCAGTCATCTCGCTATAATTACTCCTAGGGTCATTAAACTCACCTTCCTTTCTTCACCTTAAACGGCAAGTTATATCTCACTTCATTCACCCGTAGGATCACCTTCCTCACCTTCTTAACCTCAGGGGCAGTTTACTTCACATTATTCATTCAACTTTAAGGCCAATTTTCTCGTTGCTTCACTTTCATGGTTGACGGAAATCTTTCTTTCCTAACTACCAAGGTCAATTATACCTCATTTGCCTCACCTTCAATGTTATTTCTACCCCCAGTTTACTTTTACAGTTTTAATTACTTCATTTTCTTCACCTAAATGATAGTCATGCAACAATACACCTCAGCATCATCATTTTGAGGCACCACAGAGTCTTCATCTTCAGGGTAAAGGATCAATTCTCTCAGTAATCTCTTTATTTCATGGTCAGTTTCCTGTGAATTTCTCCACGTTTTCCTGATTTCAGGGTCAGTACCCTTCCTGACTCTCTCTCTCTCTCTCTCTCTCTCTCTCTCTCTCTCTCTCTCTCTCTCTCTCAGTAGTGATAATTTACTTTAGTCTTTTTCTTCACATTCAGGACAATTTCTTCATTTTTCATATTTCTCGGGTTTTGTCATGTTCATTTTTCTTCGACATTCTGATTTTTTTTTAGAAAGTATGTATTTTTTTCGATAATGGTTGGTAGGATACTTTCCCTTAATTTCATCACCATTACTTTCTATAAGGGCCATCTACTTCCACATTCACCAGCTTTACTTTCTACAAGGTACTAGGAAAATACGTTATTGTTTTCAAGAGATAAATTAAATCACCGGGAAATTATATTCACTTCATTAACAATTAAACTCAACATGCAAAGACCAATTACACACACACACACACACACACACACACACACACACCAATCTCACCTACGTCTACTGTCATTCACTATACGGGTTGATCTTATAGCGAGGCGCCAACACAATCTGTCACCTCCTAGGAAAAGAGTTAAGGTACGTGGGGGGTCATTTGTTATTGGGTTTGTCTGACGTTGATCGACCTGGGAAAAGTAATCTCCAAACGTTTACGAATTTTTACAACCAAGATGAGACAATATATAGTGTGTTTTTTTTTCGTTATAGTACCAGATATGATTTCTTTATATTAAATCTAAGTTTGTTAATATTCAAACGTTATGTATGTTAACGTTAAAGCTATGTTTGGTAATGTTGAACCTTTGTTTGTTTATGTTGAAACTATCTCTGCTTATGTTAAAGCTATGTTACGAGTTGGGGATTTAGAATATAGTTAAACGTCTACCCAGATCCCAACAGGTAACAACAAAAAAAACAAAGACAATTGGACTATAAAAGGGTAGACAAAGGATGCGAGTTTTCGATGTGTATAATAAAGTACCATAAATCCCTTAACAAAATATTCAGCTTATAAATTACCCTTAACCAAACTCAACCTAAACATTAACAGTATATACATATTAATAAAACATAAAACAATCGTGAAGCAAGGTGGAGGTGGGAGAGGCAATACAAGATTACAAATACTTAAGTGAGGAGCTGAGATGGCTGACGAGTAAGGCTGAGTATTGTAGAAGACGATAGGTAGTCACTGTGCCGTAGGTTTAGAGGATAGATGATCCTGTGGTCACTTCCCAGAGTGTAAGTGCTCTTTTTCTCTCCTCCAATTGGAGCTGCAACAAGAAGACTTTGAGGAGGTGACGCAACAACCAGGATATGGAGAAGGGAAACCTCGGAGTGGTAACTAAGACGAGTCATACTCGTGTTTCGTCCCTAGATGGCGTTGCTCGTGGTGCTGGGTAGGTAGATCAGGACAATAGATGGCGTGGTTCGTAGTGCTGGGTAGGTAGATCATGACAATTGGTGGCGGGGTTCGTAACAGCTATGATTGTTAATGTTAAAGCTATGTTTGTTTATGTTGAAGCTATGATTGTTAATGTTAAAGCTATGTTTGTTTATGTTGAAGCTATGATTGTTAATGTTGAAGCTATGTTTGTTACACTTATCAAAAATAGATCTATGTTCACTATTAATCATTATATTCTCTTTTATTATAAGCACTACAGATTACTTTGCCTTGTCTTTGTTATGAATAATTATATACTAGTTTATTTTAATGTTTAGCTTCTGTTTGTTTATTGTAATTGTTTCTCTCATTTAAATGTTATTACGTTTATATTAAAATGGTTTGGGTTAGCAGTATTATACATGGGCTGGGGAGAGACATGCTTATACCTCGTACAGGAAACAGGAGATAAAGGGAAAGAGAATAATTTTATGAGAGACACAAAAAGAGAGGGAGAGATGTGTAGATAAAACAGAGATATAGAGAGATAATAATAATGAGAAAATGGGGGAAAAGAAAATAGAGAAGAGCGGAGAGATAAGGGTAAAGAAGAGGAGAAAGAGAAAGGAGGAGGAACAAGGGTGAAGAAGAATTAAGGTTCGTTTCACGCCAGACACAAGACACTCACAAGAAGCTTCCCTGATCTCGCACCCCCCCCCCTCCTTCCTTCTCTTCACTCCACCACCTCACTCTTCGTCTACCACCTCACTCTTCGTCTACACCACCTCACTCTTCGTCTACACCACCTCACCCTTCCAACCACACCACCTCATCCTTGACACCACACCTCCTCACGCTTCCAACCACACCACCTCACCCTTCCATCCACACCACCTTACCCTCCACCTATACCATCACCTCACCCCTCACACCACATCACCACGCCCCTCCACCTATAACCTCCATCCATAACCCCACGTTCATCCACAACTTTGCCATCTATTTACAATTCCGTGGATGAGAGAGAGAGAGAGAGAGAGAGAGAGAGGTTAGGATAGCACCCGTGGATAGTTAGGTTCAAGGAAGCTTCTGCGTCAGAGGAGAAAATGAAAATCGTTGATAGAAAATTCGTGGAATTTACTCTGAATAAGACTAGATATCGTTTTCCTCCATCGTCCCCATGATCTTTGTATTTTTGGTCGATTTTACAACATACTTATCATTCTTTATATTAATTACTAAGCAAAAGCAATAGTTAGAACGTGAATATGTTGAAACTTCACAGAGCTTAGACCTCCTTCAGTTCCTTATCTAAGAGGCACAAGGGCAGTCTGTACCGAGTAGTCCGCCCTTTATATCACTGTAATGAGGCTGTGGGGCAGTAGTTGGATGACCTAGAAGCTTGTTGTAATGTCTTTATTCCTTACTAGAGGGGAGTCAGGTATGTGTCAGGGTGAAAGCACAGTAGTCCTACTCCAGCTGTTTATTATCCTTCTATGGCAACATTGTGAACCATGTGAGTAGCTTTTTAGATTCGTCTACCGTGAATGAGCTGGGGGCTCCCTCTGTTCTTGGCAGTGGTTAGGATTCTCTTTTATTATATTAGTTATTTCATTATCTTGCACGTTAGCCTCCATAAGACCTATAGCTTAGACTAGAGCATGAAGGCCGTGATGGTGTTCCCAAACGTTTCTGGCAGCGAGGCGAAGGATTAACCCAAAACTGAAGGAATCGAGACAAGTGCCTGAGAAGGAGTTCGGGGTAGCTGGGAGGACCCAATCATGAGAAGTGTTCATTGCTTACAAGTGACCGGTCTCTACTCTATGTCCAATCTTGTTCCCTCGAGCATGTCTGAGGCAATCTCCTCCTCGGTGGGTTTGTCTCGTTGGGATTGTTTGTGGTCGTTCGGGAGCTCTGGTCTTGCCTCTTGAGATATGACGATATCCCAGTGGGTGGCTGCCTCAGCAAAACTTGGGTTGTAAACTCCAACAGTAGTTCCGAGAAGTTGTGTGTGTGTGTGTGTGTGTGTGTGTGTGTGTGTGTTTGTGTGTGTGTGTGTGTGTGTGTGTGTGTGTGTGTGTGTGTGTAATATTATAAATAACATTAATAATAATAACAACAGTAATAATAATATAAAATAAACAAATAATAATAAGACGAGCCGCGCTGTGTGATGCTGACGTGTTTCCTCGCATCACCACGGGGCGGCGCTGACCCAGGCGATGGATGGTGCGTTTGTCACACTCCTCTTCTTCCTTCTGTGCTTTCCCTCTTCCGTCTTCCTTTCACGCCACTCCCTCCTTCCAACCTTCGTTCTCCTCTTTCTTATCTCTTACTTGACACTCCTCCCCTCTTTCTTTTCTCCCTTTCCTCTCTACCATTTATCGTTTCCTCTTTTCTCTACCTTCTTCCTAATCTTCTTCCACCTCATAATTATTTTCCTCACCGTTTTCATCTCATACCTTCCCATTCTCTCTTTATTCTCCCCCTTTTCCTCATCTCTACCTACCATCCTGTCTCTTTTTCCATCTCCTTCCTCCCTCATTATGTAACTTAGATTATAATAATATAGATATGACTTTCTCAACTCTCAGGTGGTGCCAGAGAGTGGACGTGGGTGGCAGCTGTTCCGGTTGGAGTCGAACAACGAGGCAGGGGAGGTATGGGCACAGGAAACCCTAGACTATGAGAATCCAGATCACAGACGAGGATTCCATTTCCAAGTGCAGGTGACAGACAGGGTAAGGTGGCTCTTGTATGTTGGTCTATTAAACTATTTATATAGCTATTAATTCATCTATGTATCTATAAAATTCATCTATGTATCTATCAATTTCATCTATGGATCTATTTATTTCATCTATGTATCTATAAAATTCATCTATGTATCTATCAATTCGTCTATCAATCTATCTAGTTACTATCTCTTCATCAGTCTGTCTGTATATCAATCCAGGAATAGAAGGGGAATGGAAGGAAGAAGAGAGAACTAGATGAAAAAATAACCAGACACAAATTGACTTTTATCTAATGATGGCAGTGTCTCATTTCAATATGTGATGTTATGTTATTTTAGCTTAGGGCAATTACGAGGAAGCTACATTGTGAGAACCTTCATTAAACCTGGTTCTGCTGTTTCTCCTTCCTCCTCCTCCTCCTCCTCCTCCTCCTCATTTATAGTTAATAAACAAGCAATTGCTCGCTTTCTTTAACATCAAGGAACATACTCTTGTAAATCCTTCTTCATAATGCAATTTGTTTAATCACGAGTTAGTGAATGCAAGCAACAGGGGATAGGATTTTACCATGATACTTATTAAAACATTATTTATTTATACAGTATATATATATATATATATATATATATATATATATATATATATATATATATATATATATATATATATATATATATATATATATATATATATATATATATATATATATATATATATATATAGCTGTAATCTGCTGTAATTACCGCTTCCGGGTACAGTTGCACCAGGGCTTATTGGTAGTTCCACTAATTTATAATATAACAGTAGCAAAATTATTATTAGTATTAGCATTAGTATTATAAAAAGTATTAGTATTAATAGCTAGGATAGCTACTCATTAAGGTAATAAAATGGCGGCGAAGGTGTGGCTATTGGGGGTGGCTGGAGGCCACGTATAAAAAAAAAAGAAAAAAAGTAGTAGTAGTAGTAGTAGAAAGACTATGAGTAAACCTATATTGGATTGAATTCACAATTAAGTAAAGAGAACACATTAAAGTTTAGTTTCAGAATCTCGTTAAGAACAAAACACTAACTAAACTTGCATAGAAATAAGGTTAAGCTGATAATGTTATGAAATCAGAATAATGTTATATACCCCAAAAGGGCTTTCTATTTAGAGGTATAAACGTGTGTATATTAAAAAAAATCTAAAACGTTAAAATTATATTGTCATACTCAAATAGCTTTTAATAGTAACAGTTTGAATTTTATTCAACAATGGCAGATAAAAGAACAACAATTAAAACGGTAATGTGATATACTGTAAAGTCAGTCGATTATGAAAACAAAATCCGCTAAAGTAATACATATGATAGAATCTACATTACAGCATGATATTTGATCCCACTATATCTGTTGCCTCAGATGATCCTGGGTCATATAGTTTATAAATTACATATTATAAGATCACTTGTACACTAATCTGTGGATAAGTATAATAATATATTTCACTACAAAACAACATCATTTGTTACACTAATATTTGTAAAATAAATCGATTTAGGTATGAAAAATTTGATTATTTTCTGGAATATCTAATATGTATCACTGAAAGATTCCCACGAAGACTTGCATCCCAGGTCGATAATTAGCAGCTTCAGTCGAATTGCCTTGTATGAGTGGTTTGATGGCTCACTTAACCACATCATTTGGACACCATCATGATTCATCCCAGTGTTTTACCTCCTGTTAACGCCTTACCTCATAAAGCTTGCGAAGGAGATATGTTCATTTTAGACAATTTTCTTCTTCTTTATAACTAAGAAAAACGTCTTCTAAAACGTGTTATTTCTGAATTATTTTCTATTTCCATAAATTACTCTTAACAATTGTACTTGATGCTGCTCTTCCTTCCAAAATGTTTCATATCTTTGTTTTGATATTTTAATTCGGTTGATATGGAAATTTCTCTTAATTAGGGTTTGTCATCATCGTTAATGGCTTTAAAAGCTAACCACTCGTTCTCTCTTATCATATTTATACACTGGAGTGCGGCGGTCGAGTGAGTACAGCGCCGCTTCCTTTTCCAGGGGTCGTTGGTTCAATTCCAAGGCACTCCTAGTCCACCCAGCTGTAAATGGGTACCTAAGTAGTAGTTGTTGTTGTAGTAATAGTAGTAGTTATTATTGTAGTGGTTGTGGTGGTGTTGCATTTTACTTACTTTTACACTAAAAGTGTGTGTGTGTGTGTGTGTGTGTGTGTGCTTCCTCTCCATTAAGGATAAATCCGCCAACGTGTTTATGAGTCGCAGGGGACACGTTTAATATCATTTTTGGAAGTATTGTATTTGCTAAATGTATTACAACTGTATTTTCGATACTACATTTTTCCCATTTGTCAAATAATTGGTCACACCGTTGCAGGAATTGTTTTTACCAGCTAACACACACACACACACACACACACACACACACACACACACACACAAACACACACACAAACACACACACACACACATACACACACACACACACACACACACACACATCTATACATGTGTGTGTGTTTTGCATATTTACTTGTCGACAAACAGATATATAACTTGATGGCTAACAGACAGACAGACAGACAGACAGACACACTAACTAAATAGACAAACAAATAGATAGAAAGGAAGAGAGATACAAACACATCCCTCTACTCTACCATCCATTATAGTCGTCCCTCCGTTCCTTCTCCCTGTGATCCACGTAAGATATAGGACTTAACTTTCCCACCGAGATGTTGTGTCACGTATTTGAGATGATACTATGAACCTAACCTAACCTAACCGAACCTAACCTAACCTAACCTAACCTAAACCTAACCTAAACTAAACCAGCCAATTATTCCTTCTACAACGCTAACTACCGTACTGTATTCTCTACAATATTAATACATCACACTGAGGAATTAAAACGAGAAAAACATCACATTAATACAACACGGACAAATACACCAGACTGATCATAGAGACATTAAGTACATACAGAAACAAATAATACATCAAACTAAACCTCAGGAAGAATACATTTAAATACAACAACAAATAATACATCCTGCCTCACATCACATACCAATGAGATTATTATTTTTTAACTATCAAACAATACCACACTATTGATGAACCTTATTGTATATTATATCAAAATACATATATCAATACACTATATGCGATAACAGATATACCATATAAATTATTAGGCAGGAGACGTAATGATAAATGACACATCATAATCACCTAATTATATACATATTTCAAGGTACAGCTTTTACACGGGTCTAGATACATAGGAAGTCGTGTTTTAAACTTGAGGCGCCTCCTGTGTTATATCATAGCGAGGGGGATTATGAGGGAGATTGTCCTCATAAACCACGTCGAGGAGGAGGTGCAGGAGGAGGAGTAGGTGCAGGAGGAGGAGTAGGTGCAGTAGGAGGAGGAGGTGCAGGAGGAGGAGGAGGTGCAGGAGGAGGAGGAGGTGCAGAAGGAGGAGGAGGAAGTGATTTATTTACGATGAGGAGGAAAGAAGATGTGAGGAGAGAAAGTAGCTTAATAAAAATAGAATAACATAAAGGAATTGAGAAAAGGAGAGAGAGAGAGAGAAGCAGAGGAAGACTAGAGAAGGGAAGAAAAAACAGAGTGGAAGTGAAGATGATAAGAAAGTGGGAAAGAACGATATATATAAAGTGGATAAGAAGAGAATGATAAAGAAGACGTGAGAAAGTATAATCAGATGAAGAAGATGAGGAAAATGGACGTTAACGGAGAAGGTAAACGAGAAAGGGGGCAGTAAAAAGGGAAAGAAATAGTAATACGAACAGCGAATAGAGAAGAGGAGAAATAAAGCCAAGAATATAATAAGAAAATGGAATAGAAATAAAGAGAATAATAAAGTGGCGGGAACTTCTCAACGAAAGAATAAAACGTAAGGAAAACAGGAAATGAGGAAAAAGAGGAAAAATGAGGAACAAGAGGACATTATACACAGTCCTCTGATTAACTATTCCTGTACCTCTGGCAAGTGGTAGAAAACACATTAATATTTATATTAATGTGTTTCACTTCTTTGACAATGTCCATCAAGAACATCCGGCTCAAGCTTCATACCGTATAAATATTAATAGTATTTTCTACCATATCTGAGGGAGTTGGGCCGGTCACCTTCAACTGTTCATATAGAGACCTTCAGGAAATAATACTCTCTCTCTCTCTCTCTCTCTCTCTCTCTCTCTCTCTCTCTCTCTCTCTCTCTCTCTCTCTCTCTTTCTCTTTCTCTCTCTCTTAAAAACAACCCTAAAACCCCTCTATATTAGGTACAAAAACCCTTACTCAACCCTAAGAGATTCCCTTATTGCAACTATAAAACCCCTTATTCAATCCTATGAACCCCCATAAATACCCACATCCTCATCCTACACCCTAAAAACTCCTTAATAAAAGTATCAAATTCTCTACTTCCCCCTAAAAAATTATCCTTAAGACTATTATTTATATACTGGGACTAAATTTCCTAAAAAAAAAAGTCTGGGTCTATTTTTTCTATATAAACTCGATAATATTTTTTTTTTCGAGGGTAATTTTTTTTTCAGGTGGAGGCAAACAAGACCCCAAAGCTCCTGATAAAATAGCCGGATGATAATGAATATTGGGAGAGTTGGTGACACTAATGTATGCTGACAATGTTGACAGCTTATAAAGTTAAAACAAAAAATAATATATATTTATATATATATATATTTATTTCGGGATAATAATTCAGGTCAGTTAATTTTCCATTATCGTGGTTCAGAGGCTGGAGCGTGACCATTTAATTGTGGCTATTTTTCAAGCGTGTTAAATCAAAGTTTGGTGTTATAGCCCCCTCCAAAAAAAAAATTATAGCACTTCATTATGGGTTTATATTTCTATGGCGTGTTAAAGTAGAGATTATATTATATTGGATATTTTACCGGTTCCAATCCTAAGGTTCATTAGTTCGTATCCTGGGTTAATGAACTCGGGAAGCAATGGTTACTTGACTCAAACTGGTGAAGTAAAGTAGATTCAGTAGATGAGCTAACCGCATTGCTTCCTTCAGTGTACCGTGTCCGCTCAATCTTATGGGACCTACTACCAATTAATTTGTTGTCACTAGCTAATAATATATTACTTATTAACAAACTCCTATATTTATGTTGGTGATATCACGTTATATTAAAGCTGAAGGGTTGGCTATCTCACATTACCTTAAATTAGGTTTAAGCAATTTGTTACATCAGATTAAAGCTGAGAGTTGCCTATAGCCTACAGCCTGAAAACTTAGCTGTATCATTTTAGATTATAAATACAGTTTGTGCTATATTGTGCTATAATATGTTAGTTTACAGTAGAGGGATTGGCCATATTGTCTTAGGTTATATCTGAAGCGCTGCCTCGGTCACATTACATGAAAGATGACAAATGTCTCTATAAATCTTCCTCGAGGCGCTGCGAGGTGAGTTAGTCTCATCAAGGCCTCTCTCTCTCTCTCTCTCTCTCTCTCTCTCTCTCTCCGTCCTCAACAATACATCATACTGTACCTTCACCTCCAGTTACTCTCTTTATCTCGCTTTTCCTCTTCCTCATCCTGCCCTATTCTCTCTTTCCGCCTTCCCCTCTCTTTTCCCTACCTTTCACACACCAGCCCTTCACCTTCCACCACCCACGTCTTCCCCACAGGGTGAAGGAGGATGGAGTAACCCCGCCCACGTAGACAGTTCCTGGGTAAGCCTGAAGGTGGTGGATGATAACGATAACACACCCGTTTTCTCCGAGGACCACGCCCAGCTCACCCTCGCGGAGGACGCCCCACCTGGCACACTCCTCACCACCTTCACCGCCCGCGACGCTGATCAGGTACATGAGTCCTCGGTCACTCATCGATTGGTTCCAGTCATAATGGTGAGGTTAGGTTAGGTTAGGTCAGTACATATTAAAACTGGAGCTTATTGTGACTATAAAATTAACTCCTCCAACACCTCTCACTTATGTATTTTCGCAAAATTTCGAGCAGGTAAGCATTTCACATTTTCAGGTTATTCGGCAGGTAACAGTTTCAGTCACGGTTTTATCAGAAGGCTACATGAACCTGACAGGTCACTCCCAAGAGCTTAACCCACGGTAAGGCCGTTTGAAGTCAGAACCCCGTCAGGCATAAGTGACGCTATGCCATGTGTCAGTTCCCAAACACAGACATCAGATAGACCGTGTTAGTTTTTCCCACAGTACAGTACAACCAACACCCTAAACTAACCACCCGAAAGTCAGAATTAAGTAAGAAACATTAATAGTTATTTTTGTTTTGAAGGTCAAATAATTTCGAAAGTTTCTTGAAATGTTTAAAATTTAATGTTCTTTAATGTGACATAAAAATCTGAATGACGTTGTTATCCACAGGGCGGTCGTGTGTATTACTAATATTCACTCAGTGGTTATACACACGACAGTATACATGTGTTGGTTTAGTTCATCATATTCTGTACTATTTGAGACACTTCATACTCTGCCAAGTAAATAAACGCGGTGCACAGTACTGTATTCATGCATCAAATTGTAAATTAAATCTAACGGCGTTTTTTTTATGTTATCTTAGGATGTTTTTAATTTTGTATTCTTAAATTAATACTATTACATATTATTGTATCCTTAACAAAAATGGTTCATTACTTTACCACAACACCTTCAGCAGCTTCAGTAGCTCACGTGTCTTCTCCCAGGGAGGTGACGGCCGGGTGAGGTACTCGGTGGCTCCTCAGAGTGACCCAGGGGGAAGATTCGGTGTGAATGGGTCAGGTGTGGTCCATCTGGCCCGGGGTTTGGACCGTGAGACAGCCAGCAGCCACAATGTGCTGGTCCTCGCGGTGGACCATGGTGTACCACCCAGAACCGCTACTGCCACACTCACTGTAAGTTAAACTAAATTCATTATCATTTGACACCTAACACACACACTCTCTCTCTCTCTCTTTCTTTCAAAACAACACACACACACACACACACACACACACAATCGAGTTAACTAGATCAAAGCATTATGCTCTTGAGCCTCGTACATTTGTTCAGTCAATCTAATATGAATAATACAGGCTTCTTCGGTCCATAGTGTGTTTGTGTGTGTGTGTGTGTAAATAATAATAATAATAATAATAAAAGGTTTATTAATAGAGTTGCAGCCGGTGGCTGAAAATATACAGACTTACATGTGAGTTAGACATAATAATATACATTTACAGGGCTGTACAGTACATAAATCAGGAGCTGTTTATTATTTTAACAATAGATGGGATGGTGCTGTTCTTATATCTATCAGTGCGGGCTCTTATGGGCTGAATTTTGTTGTAGTGGCGGACTGCGCGAGGTGGGCGGGGGACTGCAGGTGGCAGTAGGTGGCGATGACGAGGATGGTGCAGTAGTCCACTGCCAAATCCTGCTAGTGCGTGGTGGTGGAGGTTACTGAGGGATGGTATTTCTAGGGTGGAGAGAGTGTCGTTGTAGCCCGAGTATTCTACGCCGAGCATGATTCTGCATGATTTTGTGAGTGTGTGTGTGTGTGTGTGTGTGTGTGTGTGTCGGTCATAGCGCAACATCTCCACTGATGTAGTTATCTATCTCACTGTACAATAACACTTCACCAGGAACACCTCAAATTTCCTCTTTTTTTCTGTATTTTTTTCTTTAGTTTCCAAATTGAATTAATCCTCGTGCGTGTCATATCAAATTCTGACAAGGCATAAGTTTTACACCTAATTATCTATCTGTCTATTTCAATATATAGATCATGAAGACAGCTATAGATACATACATGTCGCTTATCTGCCACACTATTTAATACGTCTCTCTCTTCGTATCTCGGTCTCTTAATGTATGTACAAATCCGACACTGAATTATTTATATATTAATCTTTTAGTCGATTTATCTATCTTGTGTTGCCATTTTTATCATTTCCCTTTTTTCTCTATAAATGTGTATTAACTAATGTATGACTAATTCACTTATAAGTTAAAGCAAAGAAGGTGTAACAAAATTAATTAATGTCGGAATATTTACTTAATGCACTACCAAGGTGTTCAGTCTCTTGTAATTAACGTCGTAGAGAAACACACCTCACCTAACCTAATCTAACCTTAATCAGTAGAAAGAGGTCGTCAATCCCGGCTACTGTCCCTCCATCATTGATACAGGGAACATAAAGACTTAAGTTCAACTCTTCTATAGCTGGTCTGCCCGTAACACGCCAGCACTGAAAGCAATAATTCCTTTACGAGTTCAAATTTCCAGCCAGGGGACTCATGATATTTTTTTTTTCAAGCAAGGGAGAGAAAACAACTCGATATACCATTTAAATATAAGAGTTAATCAGCCTTAGGTCTAAATAATTTATAATGATAATAATTCAATCCAAGATCAGACTGTAAAAATCGTAACATTAGCTTAGTATTATAAGGCAATTTCTAAGTAATGTTAAGAAAGATATTAACAGTAGCGAGCAGCTGTTACACTATGTAAACAGGACCTACCAAGGTTACCCACCATCTGTCACCATCTATCACCAACGCCAGTCCACCCCAGCACCACCTTCGCCCTTATATTAATTCACATACTTCGTTTATTGGGGCAGTCACTCATTCTCTTTCTTTCGTGGAAGGATACGAGCTACAACCAGTGACTTTACCCATCCACTCTCTTAACCCTTGTGTGGCAATCCAGAAATCTGCCACTTAAACTTAGAGTCATATATCATAAACACGTTGAGATTTGATAGGTGTGAGTATATCCCTTTGTGTGTGTCTGTGTGGATGTTTGTGAACCTGCAGAGTCATTACGGTCATAACATATCGACGAGTGCACCAGCCAGATGAGTCCCAATGTATCTAATTGACCTGGTCCACCCACGACAACATTATTTGTGGTGATGAGTCTCCGCCACTACCAGAGGCTTTGATTAATGAAGCCTTTCCCAAGGTTAACTTATGAGCTCGCTCTCTGCACCCATGACTTCTCTGGGAAATATACTTTGAATATACTGTAGTTTATACTTTGTCCTCGTGTTGTCATTCAAATTAACTAACGGGTAAGAAAAAATATATATTGTTTTCGATTCAACTTTTAGTGTACAATAAATATAATGGCCACAAATGTCTCATATACAACAAACAACACAACTAAATCGTTGTTTTCCTCACAATGGACCCAGACAGGCAGCAAATAAGATAAAATTAATGACCGCGCCTTATTTAACAGTGCCGGGTGAAAAATAGTCAGGCGGCGTATTGCTCCATTTTTAGAGTCGGGCTGCTGAGCTGGGATGACACACCTGCATATCCGGCCATAATTAAGGAAGCTAGGCGTCCACTGCCTCTGTGTGTATTCTGATGTGTTCTATTTGGTTGAAAACCTTTGATGCGTCCGAGATACAGCAAAGATCAAGTATACTTTATACAACTATATCGTTTTTCACGGCTAATAATAAATAATACATAACTTAAGTTCTCATTTTTCTAGTGGGTTAATCGATTGTATGTTCATTTATCAGATTTTCACGATGATAGAATGTACTGTTTACCTCAATGACAAAAGCTCCTTAAAGCCTTTGGTAACAGAAAGTCTAAGGCAACGTAAAAATACTTCAAGAAGAGTTATTATATCTCACATTTTATAGAGGTCGCGGTCCCACTACGCTTGAATATGTTAACGTGTGGGGAGTTATGAACACAGCTGACATTCACATCTCCTGTTAGTTCATTTTTCACCTCGTCAACCTTGTGTAATAACGTTACTGTAAAAACCTTTAGTAGACAGTGGATACAGAGCTTATGTCACTGGTAACTTTGCTTCTTGTACTATCATTTTTTTCTTTTTCTTATAGTTCTCCTTTTTGTTCTTCTTGTTTTTCTTCTTCTTCTTCTTTTTGTTCTTGTTCTTCTTGTTCTTCTTTTTTTCTTTTTCTTCTTATTTATTTCTTCTTTTCTTCTTATTTTCTTCTTTGTGTTTCTTCTTCTTCTTTGCATTTAACCAGGTTTTATCTTCCTCATAAAGTTTGATAGATTGGTACTTCTGTGTCACGCCAAATCTCGGTTAGCCAGTCTTCCCTCGTTCTACCATTGGCCTTTCAGAGATTATTCGTGAATATCGATTTCACTCTGAATTCATTTACATGATCATGCCAGTCTGGCTTTCCATTCCTCCCTTTGACAGTTTTCTGGGGAACAGATTGCATCCCAGTGTCATTTAGTGAGGCTATAATAGAATTAACAAAAAACTCATTTAAGTTCTTTTGATGTTGAGGACAAAGTAAATTAGTTCAGGTGACGGGACACAATGAGAGAGAAGTATAATATCATGTACAGAGTATTGTGTGAGAATTAATAACTATTTAATTAAGTGGTTTGATTGATCTATATTAAGTGTGTGTGTGTGTGTGTGTGTGATGACATTCTCTCTTGTGAGTATTAATCCTGAGACAATTATTAAAACCAAAAATACTGCATCTAAAACAGATCAAATTTATTAATTTCACGAGTGTAATATCCAGCGCAAAAAAAAACGTTGCATTTGATACAGCTTTACTTCACTGAGTTGTTTTAGTTATATATATATATATATATATATATATATATATATATATATATATATATATATATATATATATATATATATATATATATATATATATATATATATATATTAAATTGTTGATCAAGAACGAATTTCATGTTAGAGGAAAAACTTCATTATCTGTACAAAGGATCACTTCACGAGCTAACGTACTTACAACAGAATATGAACACACTGTCCCTGCTACACGATGGATATTTATATTATATTAACATACTCAAGTTTGCCGTGAAAATGTTAAACAATGAGGAAATCGAAATTTACATTGACCCACCTTAAGTTAAGAAAGAAAGAGTTTGTTTAAATGTTTCTCACGTAAACTTGAGTGTACAGGTGATATAGGCTGGATTATGAGAGATAGAAAGACAAATAAACAGACAGAGAAAGAAAGAAAGAAAGAAAGAAAGAAAACAGACTAGACTGGTAACAAAAGCTCCACCTATTCGTGAGACAATAGATCAGAGTACTCCTGTGTGAGATGCTTCAACTTGTGGCACCATCACTCACACAGTCTTGCAGTTCGGCCAGGCATCAAACACCTGATTGGCAATATCCGTCACGACCTCGTCAAAATCTCCCACAATCACCCACCCAAGCGGTCACACGCGATATAAGCTTGTGAATTGTGGCAGATTTCACACGTCACAAAGTCCTTCGCCCCAACCTGGTTTATCCATGGGTAGGAGTGTGATGGTTATATAAAAAGAAATTCAATCAATTCCTGATTGTTGGTTTATTTAATATTTTATACTGTAAGGTGAGGTATGATTATTATTATTATTATTTATTTTGTTCCATATTTTTTCTCGGTATTTGTCTTTCTGTTTCAGTCTGTCTTTCTGTTTCTGTTTGTCTGTCTCTCTCTCTCTCTCTCTCTCTCTCTCTCTCTTTCTGTCTCTCTTTATTTTCTTCCCCTTAACACAGTATCCATTCATCCAACTTAATCCCATCACCTCCCATCCCATTTTATATTTCACACCCACTATTTCTCCCTTCCATCCATCATTCCATCCTACAGGTGAACGTGACAGACGTGAACGACAACCCACCGTTCCTAGCTGAGCCGCGGGAGGTGCGGGTGCGGGAGAACAGTGGACCTCAACTGGTCTCTCGCGTCCGCCTGGGAGACCCTGACGACTGGCGAAGAGGTCACGGTCCCCCCTTCACCATCACCCTCCACCCCCACGCCCCCCAGCAGGTCAAGAGTGCCGTTCAGGTCACCTTCGATGAACGTAAGTGTGTGTGTGTGTGTGTGCGCGCTTGGGTAGGAGCCACGCAGACCTCAGAACTCCTCAACAAAGGACAACACAATTTCGTGTCCGGATTCTCATAAGAGCTCCACTAGTTAAGGCAGAGACTCAGTGGCTTGTATGTGTCATTTTGGTCGGTAATTTTATGCCTTATTTCAGTCAGTTATGTTCACCGTCCCTCATTAACAAGGGGGAAGGAATTAAACGTATACATATTTTAAATTTCGGGACTTCAATAATTTGACAATTTAGATAATTTAGGTCTTTGGAGATAATTTGAATAACTTTTATAATTTGAGATATATTAGTAAATTGGGGCTTTAGGACAACATAACAATAGAAGAATTTAGAACTGAGATAATCGGAGTCTCATAGTATTTGGGTCGTTAGGTATTTTGCTATTGGAAATCTACGTTAGTGAATATCATGTTCCTGGATAAACAACGAAACTATTTTCATCATTAATCTTAATATTGAGAACCCTTGTCGTAACTTCCTCCTGAAGGTGGTGACGGTGGCCGCGGGTCTGGGGTGGTGACGACACTAGGGCCCCTGGATCGAGAAGAGATGCCAATATTACTGGTGCCACTCCTGGTAGGTGACGCTGGCTCCCTCACAGCTACCGTCACCCTCACCCTCCGCGTCACCGATGTCAACGATAACCCCATGACTCCAGCCTCTCGCCACGTACAGGTGAACGTCTTACAGGTGAGTAGTTCAATGTGTCTTTAAGTCGTTTCAGTCGTCTAAATCTATTTGTGATAAGTCGTTTTAGTCAAAGACATTTTATTCTAAGTCGATTAAATTGTTTTCTCACCTATTTTTATTATTTATGAAGTAGTTTTATCTATTTCTAAGTAATATTACTGTTTTAATAAGTTATTTTACAATTATTCAACAACCCACCAAAGATCTCCCCTTCGCCAATTACAAAGTGAAAATCGTGGTGTTTTTCTCAAGTAACTATAACTGTTTCATTCGTCGTTGGAGGAGCTTTGTAGATCATCACGACGGCCTCTCAATGGAATCTCATCCCTTTGTGAAGTTACGCAGTCCACGTCCCGTATATACGTGGGTGTTAGCATGATGTCGTAGTGTTTAAGCAGCTCTCAATGACATCAAAACAATCCTTGTCTTTCATTACGTCTTAACAATGAGTTCAGGGGTCCTCCTTCAGTTGATTCTACAGTTCACAATGATAATGACATGTTTTGAAGCACAGTGCAATATATTAAAATAGACTCCAAGCTCTTGTTCCGGGTATTTTTATTTTTGTATTTTTCCCAACAATTAACATTCGTAGAAGGTTATAAGCATCTCTCTTATCACCTCCGTTCAATTGGTATACAAGTATTGTGTTCTAGATCATTGCTTTGTGTTTACAGCTGCTGCCGGTTCATGTTTCTTAAACTATCCAGTGGGTCATAACTCATGCTTCTTGTCGTCTGCTGCGGATCATTCAAGAGGTGTAATATTATTCACCTCTTCCCTGATGTACTTAATAGTCAGTTATGAATATAATACTAACATTTATTTAATATTGATATAGATCTGATATTACTATTAATAATAATATTAATATTGATACTGATACTAATAATATGACTAAAATTAATACTTATGCTAATTCTCTAACACCAAGCTGGTTAAATACACACTATTAACATTCCAACAGTAATACTCACGCTGATACCGGTATTAACACGGCACCAATTCTCCTGTTCGGGCCAGAATTTGCTCTACATTTTTTTAACGAATTAAGTGATGAATAAATTTTAAAATAGAAACCAAATGTTGATGTTGTGGGAGATTCATTGTTATCCCCTCTCTCTCTCTCTCTCTCTCTCTGTCAATTTACCAGGAAGAAACTGTCGTGAGAAACAGCGGTGCGGTGCTCAGTTCCCATCCTTGCTAACTAACCCAGGACTCACCGTCACCCAGGTGTCCAAAATGAGAAGTGTTCATTATTTTCTTACAAACTTTGACTCATAATCCTCACCAGGAGGGTCAAGTGAGAGCGATAGAGGTGGGGAGAGTGAGGCTCAAGGAGGAATTAACTCAGTCAACAGAAGGTGCTGGTGTTTTTAATACAAGGACGCGTCGCCGGATATGATTAAAATTAAGATCTCCTGGAGACAATATGAACGGCACACTGAAAATCGTAGAGTTTATTTATCAATAGCGATTCAGTGATCTAAATAGTTGACGAAAAATGCTTCCGATCGGAGAAAATTTAATTTCAAAGGCTGCGGCAGTTTTAGAACTTGGTAGAAAACTTGTGGACACAAAGTTTAGGAGGAGTTTCCTGTTGTGTGTGTGTGTTGTGGACCCTTGAGCCCCCCACGCCGCCTGCTAATCCTCACTCCCTCATACCTGTATATTTGTAGTTGTTTATATTTAGAAGAAGAAGAAGAAGAAGAAGAAGAAGAAGAAGAAGAAGAAGAAGAAGAAGAAGAAGAAATTAGTAAAAGTAATATATAAACATTAATACCATCACAGACGCTGGACCAGTGCTCATTACCTCATAGTCCAGCAAACATTAGTACCTGTATAGTAATCTTCCTCAGTCAACACAGCCACAAGTTCTAACACTGACGGAAGTAGAATTTCCCGAAACTGAAGTTGTTCTGTTCTTAGCCTTCCTCTCTCTCTCCCACTCGACTATGTGCCCTCCCACCCCCTCCCTCTGAGAGACGTGTGTCCGTTAGACCTCGCCTATACCATCTACTAGCATGATACTAGTTATAGTGAAGGAGTCTGATGTTCAAGCGTCAACCGTATTGACTGACTCCACCAATCGTTCCCCTGTTGTTTATCTCTCTCTCTTCTCTCTCTCTCTCTATCTGTCTCAAAAGTACTTGCGCAAACTGGTTGACTATTATTTTTCTTTACTCTGCCCTCAACAAAAACACTAACTCTATTTCATGGTTCATAGACGTGTTATAATTTTACTTATAGAATCATATTTGCTAATCACCCACGCAAAGAACTTGGGGCGTGGATCTCCCAGGTTTTGTGTTGCTCATAAATCCACGTTTTGTTCCTCGTATTCCTCCTTTATGTCTATACTTACCTTTTAATTCATCACATTTTGCCTTTTCTTAAGTAGGTAAAAGGTTCTAATGGAGCTGGAGACCCTGTGGCTACTGCATCGCTAACTGAAACAAATCAACTCTTTCCTAAAGCTTTTAAAAGTTTTTCTTTCACTCAACCTTCCCAACTCCTGTACACTTGACCATACAGAACCCAGTTTTAACCAGAAGTATCCCTCATTTTCATTGGTCTACAGAATCAATAACTTTATATGACGTCATCTGTAAGGTTTTAGGTAATGTTGTCAATAAATATCTTTCCTTCACTTTGAAATACCGATAATCCTACTCCAGGTCTCCTTTTGTCCTCACTTACAACACTGATTTTGACCTCTCTGTGATATGACTATTTTCTGCTACTATCCTTCAGCAATTCTGTAACCACTTTTCATGTTATTATTTCAGTAGTTTATAGCCTATAAGGAATCAACACCTTCTGAGCCTAATAACATAAAATCCTTGGAAACTTCACTCTTTCTTCCTCTCAGCTGATCACTTCCTTAAATATATCTCTTTTATCCCATCATCATTAATACTGCCAATCCTCTTCAGGGCTCTTCAACAAAAATATATCCTAAATCCATCCACCTCAACAGCATATACAGTCTGACCTCAGCTCACGTTCATTACATAGAATATTTTTCTTGTGATATTTTTTACTTACTAATACTTAAGCCAACGTTACCCTAACACCTCCTGGCCTCCACGTACACAGAGAGCTTGCTTAGTTCTTCATATTTTGTCGTCGGTAGAGCGATAAAGACATTTTACATCATCTTTCTCCCTCTCATTAATTTTTCTGATCTGACAATGACACTATTCTCTCGAATACAGAGCTTGAGATTCAAGATATGTGTTAATATAAAATGATTATTCATGTATATATATATATATATATATATATATATATATATATATATATATATATATATATATATATATATATATATATATATATATATATATATATATATATATATATATATATATATATATATACCCTATATGCAGTATATATACCATATATGGGCCAGGATGGAGGGTGAATGTCGTGGTACCCGCAACTGACTGGCCACAGAGAGGTATAAATGGCCCTCTCCTTCAATGTCTCCCAGGATGTATTGCCTCTGATATTTCAAGTTGAGTCTCGCTATTGAAGTCTGGGAATGCCGAAAGGGTATTTCTCAGGTTCACTGTACAGTATGAGAATGCTTTATCAGTTATGTGATTATGACTGACTTAAACACACACACACACCCACCGGCTGCAACTCTATTAATAGACCGTTTATTATTATTATTATTATTATTTTATTATTATTACACACACACACACACACACACATGCTTTGAATATTAACAAAACCCAGACAAAGAAAATAAACCATAATATAAAAATTTGTAAAGAGAAAACTACACAGTAAACAGGACAGTATATAAACGGAAATGTAGCCAAAATATTCCCCCAAAGCTCATGTCAATACTCTACATGTTTATTTCAGGGGATAAATTCTAACGTGTATTTGTGCACTGATCTCCTGGCTTACGGTGGTGTGTGTGTGTGTGTGTGTGTGTGTGTGTGTGTGTGTGTGTGTGTGTGTGTGTGTGTGTGTGTCGCTGGACCCCTCTGTAACGAGACGCACCTTCCTTGTCTCTGAGTTTTTTTTCCATTAATAGGATTAGGAAATACTGCATACGACAGACATAAATCACCAGTTTAAATCTCTCTCTCTCTCTGTGATGACACTTAAATAAATATAAAAACACGAACCCACTATAGGGGGAAACAAACTCAAAAGAAAAGGAGTTCTGTATATTTCGGACGTTCACTGCGGTCCTTCTCAAGAGACTGAAAACACAGATTCAAAGTGGGAGGAGGAGTCAGGTAACAATCTGCTTTCAGTCATTTTTATGTTTCTCTATTTATTTTTTCCACTTTTCTCTCGCTCTCTCTCTCTCTTCATTTTCTTTCGTTTATTCCTATTTTTCCTGACTCAATCATCACTATAAAACTTACATACTCGTCTTCTACATTAGTGATCTAGTTTTGAATGATTTCCTGAGCGATGTGTTTTTTAAAGGTCGTTCTGTGTCAGATTCTATAAATAAATAGACTAATTACATAGAGTGAGTGTCATGTTATATACCTGTATTTACTTTGTTTATGTGAAAGTCACACAGGGCCTGGCGGCATGCTGTGTAGTGTGGATACAGCTCACTGAAGACTGAGCCTTCAGTACACATGAAGGTAACGTGGCTGTCACTGCACTCTGCTAATTTTCTCTTCCCCAGCTTTAAAATTGGCATCCATTCCGCAAGTCGCTTTGGGGCAAGTCACTCGTTGACCGATAATGGGAAGCGTATCGGAGACGGATATGAGAGGAGACTAGTGCCCTGTTTGCTTAAATAACGCCTCATCCCCAGTCCGCCCAGCACTGAATGGATACCTAACTTTACTGTTGGGGAAGTGAAGACAGTCGAGTGCAGTACCAGCCACAATGCCTTATTTTACTTTAAAAAAAGGCTTAGTCTCCAGCGAACTGTTTCTGGGCTGTCTACGGAAGCCAGTTCATATAATTAGTATCAAGAGAAAAAAATCCACCGAGGAAAGTCTTAGTGACACAACAGTCTCGCCGCCAGATACATGAAGTGGTTCAGATCCCGGCAGCTCAGGTTCCTTGAAGTCTTATAATGCTGTTAGGTCAGATTAGGTGAGATTTTTGTCTTAAACCGTGATGTAATGCTAAAGGCTGAAGCTCCCGCGTAAGCGTTCTAGGAAAATTTGAATCCTGATTCACAAAAGCTCGTACGATCAATATTCTTCTGACTAAAAATGTAAGAACGCAGCTAACTATCTGAGTTTAACTGCATTGCAAAATAACATAAAAAATATATTGAAACTCTACCTCAACTAGTTACCTATTAACGTATAAAAGATTCTGAACCTTAGTTTAACTTTGTTTTAAGTAAATACATCTACTTAAACCGGACTTTCACCTTAAGAAAATAAAGAGTTGCAGTCATGGTTTAACAATATCTCTTATTGTAAAAATTTCGGTAACAATTAAAAAAAAATCATGGCAGAGAAGGACTGCTTATTATCGCTTAGTTTAGTATGACGCCATGTGTAGGGCGGCTGTACCTCACTGATAACTAAGACTTATAGCAAACGAGGTTCAGTTCAGAGAACGCAAGGTTTGGGACGCGTCTGACGTCACGAAGCTTCGATCGTCCCCCATGAACTATTTACATTTAACTGTTTCACTGAAGTTCCGAAGTGCATCTCGAGTGGTTTATCACCACTCACAGCCGAGATAATGAGTTTGTGAATGATTTGCACATAAAGTTTGGATATATACATATAGAACATTTATTTGCCGGAAGTAAACTACCGGAATATTATTTTGAAACTTCCAATCAGTCATTCAACAAATACTGTACTGACACATGTTTTAAATCGGCTTCGAAATCCCCAGTGAACAATTCAACCGTCGTCCATTGTTTTTCATCGACGATTAACAATATTCTTTAGCATTGAAATAAAATAAAAATAAATCATTTTCAGTAAAAAAAATATGAACTGCTTTAATGTATCATCAATCAGCAAAACCCTGCAAGTTCCATTATATTTTAGACAATAAAAATTACATTCTCACGCAATCTGTCAACACAATTTCAAACTGAAAAGTTATTGATCCCTAAAAAATGTATTTTTCTGCTACCTGTTGGTAAAGAGCTTACTCTCTGTTTACTGTTGACGAGCAGTGAGGTCTGTGTCAACACTGCGGGTGAGGATGCGCAATTTTCGTGTAAATTACTGATGACTCGTTTGTCAATAGCTAGTGGAGGAAAGTTTTTTGCGTGTGGTTATTCTGTTGTGTGTATATGAAGGTGGAACTATGTAAACCTTTAAGGTAGATGAAATGCGTTGATAAATTAGGTATTGTGTGCCGATGATAACAGACAGACAGACAGACAGACAGATTGTTTTTGTTTTCATCTTAATTGTCTTTATTCCTCTGATTACTCTCCTTTCACACCCCCGATGGAGACTTCTTCAGAAACATAATAACCTCGGATCTCTGTACTGGAGTAAACTACAGTTGTGATAATAATAAAGTAACTAGGTGATTGTATAACCTCTCAGGTGATGAATGGCTACACACATTAAACTTAATTAATAGGAAAGTCGTCAGGTAACCCAGCGAATAACTTATAGATGATATGGGGTTAGGTTAGGTTAAGTTAGGTGAGGTTAGGTTAGGTAAAATATCTTGTTTTCACATGACAAAACAGATCTTCAGTGTGCTGACTTATTTCACAGTAGTGGACTTTCAATCATAAGGGAGTGCATAGTCATAATTTATAAAGGCATTGGGTTTTAGAATGGGTTGTAAAGCGCTGTAATTATTCTTGCAAAACAATATTTGTCATGTTTGAACCCAGTAATGATCCCGTGATAAACATACATCTCAAATTACGATAATTATGATGGCAATTATGATTTTAATGATAATAACAGAGTAAAAAAAAATATATATATATATATGACCATTTTTTTAAACAACGGCTTAAAAAAATAAAAATATGAATAACGATGAGTTTCATTTTGTTGATACGACTACAGGAAATAAGAGACGTAATAATAACTTACTCGTATTATGATACATAGAATATTTAGAATGAATAGACAGAAGCCTTAATGAGGAACCTGAAAGATACATAAAAATTAAAGATCAAATCCTCCCTTACAGAAGACGGAATGACTGTCAAACCTTCAAACAAAACTTATACCCGGAGTGATGTGTAATGTATCTATTGACAGAGTGTATGATCTTACCTGTTTAGGAATGGAAATATAATTCATAACTACAACAACTACAACAAGTATCAGAAACATCCAGACATACAAGAGTGTAGACAGAAAAATCGCTCCCCTTTTTTAAATCGAAATTTGATCGGTTATTGAGATGGGATAAAAAAAAAAGGAAAAACTCAGCTCAAGTTTTAATTATAAGGCAATTTTACCGGCAGCATCTGGGCACCTCTGCTTCATTCATCATCTTCCAAATTGCTTAATCACAAAGTAATTAATTTTAAAGTTTTTTTTTGAACGAACGAACAGCACGGTCTCTCTTTTTTTTTTTTTTGAAGGAAGTCATTCGTTGGGTGAGCCATAGGAAAGATTGTTTTCCTATTCCTACAGCTGAGTCAGGATATCGGGGATACTATTCAGGTCTTTATGTATGATGGAGAGACGATAAGATGTTAAGTCGGATGCCAAAATTTAAAATATCATTAATCATTATATTTTTAGATCTGTCCAATATGAAATGGTTTATTCTACTCTATTATATATTACCCGGGCGATGATAGATATGTGTTCAAAATGTGATGTAGCGACAATGAATTAATTTAATCTGAATTCATTTTACACAGAATCAGGCTGATGGATTAAGTTAATATCCAACCACGCAACTATTTGTCAACCTAGCGTTTGACGTTTACACCTTCATCCTAAACTGTCACTACAGCTATTATATAATACCACTATTTTTATATTTATCTGCACCATAACACCATCACCATTATCACCATCATTGCAGCTGCTACCATTACTACTGTTACAATAATCGACGATTTAAATTCATATATATATCTTCTGTTATATATTTGTATTTTGTTGCTTCGAGGAATCATGTAATATTACTCGTGTATCTTTTGTGTACGATGCTCACTTTTTCCTACTGTTATCTGTGTATTGAAGACCTGTATTCATCTATGTGATATACCAGCCGTCCACAATGTTATCTGGTAAAGTCGCCATCTAGTGGTTAGGTGAGAAAGCGTAATGGTGACTGCCAAGCGTCGCTACACTAGGCCGCCTTATTGATTATATTGGATGAGTCGAAGTTTGAGTTAATGCTTCGACTCATTCATTCAAGGTTTGGTGTTGGTCGATGGTCGCCTGATCGGTAAAAGTCAGTCAGATTATGGACAGTGTGGTTGCCGGCTGTGGGTTTCACCTCCTCCAGAGCGATAAGTACATTGATATTTGCATTGTTTCTCACTTATCCCTGCTTCATTAAGTACAGTATGATATTTGCATTGTGTGAACTCACTTATAGTGTTCCTGCTTCATTAGGTTAAGTATTGTATATTGTGGTTGGTTTAATTGTAGGTTTAAGAATATTTTGTTGTGTCGACAGGTAAGGTTTTATACTGAGCACACCTGTTATTTTGTTATTGTTATTATTGTTTCTATAATACACTGTAAATAGTTTAATTTTGTTATATTATTTTATTTTTTAGTCGTGAACTCAATAGAAATAAGAGTAATTATAACACTACCAATACCATCGTTACCATAAACACCCCTATCAGTACCTGCACATCATCACCTCCTTCACATCACCATCTTCACACCACCACCACACCACCACCACCGCCACACCACCACCACCACCACACCACCACCACCACTATCAATACCATTACCACCACCACTACTACAACTACCACTATCAATACCATCACCACCATCACCACTACCATCATACCACCATCACCATCAACTCAACTAAAGGTCACATCTCAAGAGGATCAGAACTTGTACTAATAATTGGAATACATCTTGAAGTTCCCCATTCTCCTCTCGGGTTCTTGTGTCCTGTCTTGATTTGCTGTCTGTTTGTCTGTCCGTTATGCTGTCTACCCATGTTTATTCCTCTCCGTGTTTTTTTTGTCAACTGATTTGTTTAAATTCTCTCGTTTATTGGCATTATTTTTTGTCTATGATGTCTTTTCTATGTTAACTTCTGTCCTCTCTCTCTCTCTCTCTCATCTACACCAACTCTCACCCACCCCTCTCCTCCCCACAGCCCCAGGCCTCTGCGGTGCCACTGGGGAGGGTGTATGTGAATGACCCAGATAATGATGACTACGACTCCAAAACCTACGTTTGGAGGACCTACCACCACCCTAGCTTCTCCCTCAACACCTCCACTGGTGACCTCTCCATGCGTCCTGGCACTCAAGATGGCAGGTGAGAGATTGTGGTAGTAGTTGTTGTAGTTGTTGTAAGAGAATGTGGTAGTTGTTGTAAGAGACTAAAGATAGTGGTGTGATGGTTGTAGTGGTGGTGGTGGTGGTGGTGGTGAGAGTCAAGGAAGGTTAGTGGTGATGGTGATAGAGGAGACGAAGTTCTCTAATGATGAATAAGAATATGACATTGAAGGTGAAAGAGAGAATGATGATGATAATGATGATAATGATGAGAGAGAAAATTATGATTTTGATGATATGATGATATTCTAATTACATGATGAATCCTAATCATTCTTCTAACAGCTACGAGTTGACCTTCCTGGTAAACGATAGCAGCCAGGGTCAGTCTGATGTCAGCGCTAATGTCACGGTCGAGGTCAGGTCACTAGATCATCAGGACATCGCAGAAGCCATTCCCCTCATCCTGGAAGTCGACCCTTACACACTGGTGAAGGAGGGAGAGGTGAGAGTGAGTGAAGGAGAAAAAGTGAGGAGGAATTAAAGAAGGGGTGAGGGAGGGGGAAGATGGAGATTGAAAGTGAGGAAGAAAGAGGGAGGGTTGGAGGGAGGAGAAAGCGTATGAGGGTGAGACAGACAGACAGACAGACAGACAGACAGACAGACAGACAGACGGACGGCAATAAAGTTATATCATCCCTCTATTATTCAGATGACGAACTCCTTCCCCTTCCCTAAGTCTCTCCAATATCAATCTTTTTATCTCTCTCATATGGTATACAATATAGATTAGTCTAACCAACCTGGCTTACCAACCTGGCTTACCAACCTGGCTTACCAACCTGGCTTACCAACCTGGCTTACCAACCAGGCTTACCAACCTGGCTTACCAACCTGGCTTTAGTATGAATCAGTCAAGTCAGTCAAGGTTGGTATTAATAAATTTTACTGAAACTTATAAAGAGTTCAGACAAAAAATACTGCCCTAAACCTTTTAAGACTTTGATGCCAATTTTACCAATTTTCTGTATTAATGGAAGTTTTAAATGCATTAAGTTAAGACTGAATTAGAAAGCCAGGATGCTATTGTTTTCTCTCGTAATAGGAAAAAAAAAGTCCTTGTTTTAATACATATGAATTAATAGAAATATATTAAGAGGAGTTTTAAAATCACAGACAGACAGACAGACAGACAGACAAACAGACAGACAAACAGACAGACAGTCAGACAGTCAGTCAGACAGTGCAATGTAAGATTAAAATAAACATCGTTAACACAAAGCGAATATGTCCCTCAGAAGAAAAAAATAAACATATAATAGAAATAAAAACAAGACCACAGACTAAGACCAACACAATATGTAATGAGAGAGAGAGAGAGAGAGAGAGAGAGAGAGAGAGAGAGGCGTCTAACTTAGAACATTAAGATGCAAAACAAAGAAACAAACGAAAATATATTATAACAAGCAAAAAATTTAATCTTGTGTACGACAAGGAAGGAAAACAAAAATATTAACTTTGTTTTCTCTCTCTGTGTTTGTAACTCAGGGCTCACCGTCCCTTCTGAAGCAGCTGCTGGTCGAGGTACAAGCGTGGACAGAGGAGAGACGAGGGCGTGGAATGGGTACGGAAGGGGGAAGGAGGAGGAGTGTGGGAAAGGAAGATGGAAGGAGGAGGAGTGAGCAAGACAGAAAAACCGTAGAGGTGAAGAAGAGGAGGAAGAGTGTAGGCTCCAAGGAGAGGAAAAGGAGGAACTTCAGTGTGGAAGAAGAAGAAGAGAGGAGAAACGCGGAAGAAAAAAGGAGAAGCGTGGGCGTGGAGGAGAAGAGCAGAAGTGTGGGCGTAGAGGTGGTGTCTATACAGGAGATGGAAGCTTCTCCCAGGCCAGCCACCAGAGTATGGGTTACTTCCTCTGGTATCAGCAGCCTTGACCTGACAGTCCTTCATCGCAGAGAGCAGGTGAGTGTAACGCTGCTTTATTAGTCTTCAGTTTCTATCCCGGTCTCCCTAGCCCCCAGGTTATGCCCAGCCATTACCCCCTTTGTCCCCTAGCCGTACTCCAGCCCTCCCTTAGTCTCCCTAGCCCCCAGGTTATGCCCAGCCATTACCCCCTTAGTCCCCTAGCCGTACTCCAGCCCTCCCTTAGTCTCCCTAGCCCCCAGGTTATACACAGCCCCTAACCCTTTGGTCTCCTAGCCCTACTCCAGCCCTCCCACTCCTTCAAAAAAAACAATAAATTGACAGATACAAATGTTACTATATGAGAACATTAAATACCTGGATTGTACAGTACCTACCTTAATATCATCTTACCTGATCTAATCTAACTTAACACACTTTTAAACTAACCTAAAATACCTTAATCTAAATAAACCTAGACTTATGTAACCTAACCTAACCTAACTTAATAACTAAGCCTACCCTAGAGTTACCTAAACAAACATAAATTAACCTAACTTTACCACCAAGTTCCTAAAGCTCAAGAACCGTAACATAAACCCCCTTCCACCACAAAGGACTCTAAGAGGTTTAAAAAACTGTTTAAGCTTAAAAATTATGAAAAATTAAAATATGAAAAACACAGTTTTTGTCCCCAACGTCTAATGTAAAAATAATCACCCTATTATTAAGCTTTCACTTGGCAAAGTTTGTGTTTTTATATAACCAAAAACTTGTATATTATAAAACATTGGTTTGTTTTTCTACGTGTAAAATAATACCACACGAAAAAACGCTGAAAACCGCATTAGGTGTGAAAAATACGATACTGGTACCTCGATAATAGTTTTTCTATTAATACAAGTCTTACGTTATTTCAGATATCCCGAATATGTCTACAAGGTTAACTGAATCGTTATTTTCAACCGCTTTAATTATATGCCTTTGAAAAGATTCTGATCCTTTTAACACTCTCTGCCATCAGTTAGGAGAAGCCATCGGCGTCAGAGTGTTGGAGGTCGGGGTGGGGGTGTGTGCCGAGGCTGTACACGGAACCACACAAAGAACCACTCACCACCCGTCACCTCAAGCCCCTCACCGACCCATTCCTAAGACCCCTGGCAAGATGGACACTAATGCCACTCAGAAAACTAATCCCAAAAGCACTGCCAATGCTACCCATCACGTCAGTCTCGGCGCCACTCAGCACTCCACTTACAAGGACCAAGCTGCCGTGAGTGATGCCTATAGTGTGGTGGAGGCAGGGACGAGGGCAATGGTCGGACCCCGGGTGGATGTCCTGGACATGTGTAGGTGCGACAGGTACAACACACCACAGGGAGGCCACTACACCTGCACACCTCACACCTGCCTCAACGGGGGACGCTGCCTGCCTACCGTAACGGGATATAGGTAAGGTGAACATCTGTTTTAGTGAATGCCTGTGTATCTCCTGCAGCCAGATGTGAGATGAGTCCACACACACACACACACACACACACACATACACATACATACACACACACACACACGAAATATGCAACATCACTGGAACACGAGATTCATGAACGTAATATAAATTTGGACGTTTGAACGCAGAGAGATCGACCTCATAGATATCATACACTGGGCACCATTTCGGTCCTTGCATTTGATCATCAATTCCCAATATTAATTCTCAAGTTTAATGACTAAGAATGAGTGATTTCTTAATTAGTTTTCATGATTTTTATTTTCACTTTCAATCAGGTCTTACTCTTAAGGGGTGGAAATAGATAGTTATTTCAGTAGGAAAATAAACTGAAGTGACAGGTGGTGACTCAAGTTACCCACCGGCTGGGAGGCTTCAGAGTGAGGTGGGGTCCTTGTATTGCTAGTTGTTATACGCTATTTGTTGATATACACACACACACACCTTTCAGTATATTGCATCCATGATTAGATATATTCTCGCTAAAACTCATTTATTCTTATCAACAAAATAATAATTCTGATGTAAATTACGAAAGATAATATTAAATCGGTTATTAGCTTATAACTAAAGCAAAAATATTCAGCATTACTGATTATCACTCAGCACAACAGGTTATTTTTGTTTGTTTTTAGAATAATCAGGCATCATAATATTTATCAAGACCAACAGTTACTTCGTCAGAGCTGGAATAGAATGTTCAAGGACTAAATACAATGCGGTTACAAGGGTAATAATTTCTGCCACAGAGGCCGCTGGTGTGGATATAACTCTTTCAGAAATATATGGTTTATATAGACATCTTACTCCTGATTCTCAAAGGTTCTTACGATGAATATTTCTTAGAAGGGAAGACATAAGAACACACATCACTTAATTGCACCAGTTAGGAGACACAATTATCTGAATAAAGTCAAGGTAATTTTGCATTTTTTTACGTTATTTTGTAGTTTAGTTTAACCCAACCAATTGTGTATCTGGACAATGAACTAAAGAACAAAAATTGCTTTACATTGAGAATACACTTGGCTCTTCTCTGTCAGGTTTCAAATTCAATCTTCATTTGCCTTATTTGTCCATCAGTGGGTTTATTGCCACATGGAAGGAAACGGTTATCAATGGGTAGGGTTAGATAACATGAACAGCCCATTTATCAAACCTTTAAATAATTGTTGCTGTATAACTAACTAAAATACCCATTTAACTTTTAATCATGAAGAGTCAATAGGCATTTCTCAAGCTATTAATATCCTGTTGCTATTTGACCATTAATAGCCATATGTCATTTACCCATTAACGGTCTGACAATTAATAGCAAGTTTCCATTTAACCATCTATCACTAGCAAGTCTACGGACTTGGCGCACCCACATTCAACCACAACAAGATTAATAGCCATATGTCATTTACCCATTAATAGCAAGTTTCCATTTAACTATTAATAGTCATATTTCGTTTATCCATTAACAGTCTGACAATTAATAGTAACTTGCCCTTTAACCATTAATAACCATATGTCATTTACCCATTAACTCTCTGATAATTAATAGCAAGTTTCCATTGAACCATTAATAGTCCAGTGCCAATAATCAAATCATTCACTGACATTCTGATATTCACCGTCTGTTGCTATTCCTTTCCAAGCTCTTGAATTCATACTACCATCTCCTATCAATCGGTCTCCTGTTTGACCTGACAATTGTCTTTACAATTCGCATTTAAAGTTATTTCTGGGAACATTGAGGACGTGCGAGTCACCTTGGTTACATAGGAATGGGAAGAATCTGCTGTCTATGTATGTATGTATGTATGTATGTATGTATGTATTTGTATGTATGTATGTATGTATGTATATATATATTTGTGTGTATGTATGTATGTATGTGATGAAATTTTGTCTTCGGAGAGTGCAAGTAAGGCCAGATATAGGCATCAATAAGGTGAATTCTCATCTCCATCGACCACCAGAGACACGAGAATGCACCTGGCTGACTCACTCGAGATATGATACAAAGATGACTTCGAAATGGTACTGAGACTATACCGTAATTAGACGTTTTATAGTATCCTCAGTTATAGGATAAACAACACTTATATAAATCACAGAGGATATAAACTACAAATGATTATAACTTAATGATTTTGATATAAACCCACGTTGATTAATAAAGTAAACAGGTAATATATGACGTGTGACAGGTTAGCACTTTAGTAACACACGGTAATGAAAATATCATGTAAATTGAATCCGTAACAAAACATTATTATAATTGTTATTGTCGGCTGTTAAAGGCAATATGCTGTCAGGCAAAATGGTAATTACTGATCAAAAATAACACGAACAGCTGCAAAACCCAGAGAGTGCAGTCCAGTCACTTTTTATATTAGCTTCCATTATTTATTACGCGTGTAAATTTTCTGCCATTGCCCCGATCACTATCTGGTTTGTTGCTCCCTTTTTTGTTTTCCCTTCTTGTTGTGTCTCTGTTTCTTTGCCAATCAGTGTGAGCGCGCGCGTGTGTGTTTGGGTCCTGAATATTGGATATCTAGATAATTGGGTTAGGTTAGGTTAGGTTATCTTCGATCCCTAAAGTCGTGTAATTGTATATTTCATTCACCTTAAATGAAAGCATCCTGAACAAACAAACCAAACCTTCAGGTGGCAGCGCTCTCCTAAATATTTACCCCAAATTTCCCAGACACTCAATTTCCCAGGGACCAATCTTCCGGACCAAATTTTCAGGACTGAATGTTCTTACCGCCGTGTGTGTGTGTGTGTGTGTGCGCGAGAGAGAGAGTGTGTTTTGTTGTTTTTTCTTTGCTTATCGTTTTGTAGCTGTGTTTTGACAACGGTTAGGAATATCTGTATTTCCAAAAATGCTCTCCGGCCTCAGCTGCCTCTCCAAATGTTTACCATATCAAGCAGCCATTTCCCTTCCCACACAATACAAACTATCTTCTCCGCCTTTACAGGACCCTTTTCTTCCACCCACAGGTGTATATGTCCTCATGGAACAGAGGACTCTCGTTGCAAGATCCTCAGCCGACATTTTGAGGGTGTCAAGGAGCCAAAGGACTCTGTGAGCAGTTCCTCCAAAGGGGGTCCTGTGATAGATGGATGGGCATGGTTGCCACCTATCCCTCCCTGTACCGAAGTCCATCTTAGCCTCGAGTTTCTTACGAGTTCTCAGGACGCGACGATCCTCTACTCCGGCCCAAGAAAGGACTCCAGGTATCCTGCAGGGGAGATGGGGGACCTGTTGGCTCTAGAGCTTCGAGATGGACGTCCTTCACTGGTTCTTGATCTAGGCGCAGGACCCGTCGCCCTCACAATCAACGCCTCCTACACAGTGACTAACTCCAGGTGGCACAGACTGGATCTTCTTTGGAAAGACGAGGTGGGTGGTTGATGTCATATCGTGAATAGTGTTTGCATAATTGTCTTATTTTGTCTTACTGGATGAATACACAAGTGACTCTTCCTTGACGACGATGGATTAGGAATTAAATAGAGATTATGCTCGTTTTAACCTAAATAGACCTATAGGTAGGAAAATCTGAGAGCATGATGACCGAAGGGAAAGATGATTCGTGTTTACTTCATTGTGGATACTGTACACAATGGTAATAACAGATTTAGAGGTGATTGATGGTTCCAGGTGAGTCTAGTGGTGGAGGATAATCGAGTGTTGATAAGTTATGTGGTAAAGAGAGAAATGCTTAGCAGGTGTGGATGAAAGAGTGGAAAGATGGAAACACACAGAATTCGGTATTTCTCTCCTTCTCTATCCTTCATTCTCTCCATTCCACTATCCTTCTCCCCCTCGCTCTCCGTCTTCCCGTTCCGCAACCTCACCTCCCTTCCTCCTCCTTCTGTATTCCTCACTCTCTCCATTCCCCCACCCTTACCTCCCTTCTCTATCCCTCTCTCTCTCTATAGCCCAATCCTTCCCTCACTTCCTCCTTCTCCTTCTCTCTCCTTCTTCCCGCTCCACATCCTCACTCCCCCATCCAAACCATTCCTTGCGTCTCACATAATTAAGTTTGCGTTCCCATAATGAACGACGGACTCAAGAAGTCATTAAACTTTCTGCCTCCAAACTTGAACCTGGCTGACCGATGCCTCCGTATTGGAAATCGATCTGAGAGCTAAAGGAGTTTAATAACGTTTACGCCGTTACTTTTCAGTCCATTGGTGAATAATCGGCAGTTAGTCCACACACACACACACACACACACACACACACACAGACAGACAAGGATATAAATAACTCTAATCTTCAACCCAAGCGCTAATACCAGCCAATTAACCCAACATCTTCACTATAGAAATGACTTGTTAATTGCTGTGAATACAAAGACTCAATAGGTAACGGCTCAATGAGGGTATCCTTAATAGCTCCTCTGACACAGGTAATGAGGGAAGCAACAGGTAAAACTTTCGTCACCTGCCAGAGAAACAACAACAAAATTTTGTCTGCTATTAAGGAAAATGCAGGTGTTCTTGAGTAAATCTGGGCCGCCGATTTCAAGTCTGAAGCCAGAATTCATCCATCACGTCAAGTTTTCAAGTTATGCCACATTGTACATCTAACAACAGTGCTTGGTAATTACTTTCACATAGCTATTAAAATATATTATTTATTGTAGTGTATTTTATTTATTTTCTCTAATGTTTTCTCTCATTAATTTCGTTTATTTTCCCATCCTGTATCTTTCCGTTCTATTAAATTATAATAGTTGCATTTTTTTTTCCTGTTTTGTTTCCTTTATTGTAATCTCTCTCTCTCTCTCTCTCTCTCTCTCTCTCTCTCGTTCGTTCTTTCTTTTCCAATTTTTCACCCCATTTTTCCTGCCCTTTCACCTAGTTTTGGTTGAATTTTCATCATACCCTTTTTTCAATATTACTTTCTGGGGAAAAGAAAGGGAGGGAGAGATTGAGAGAGGGCTGGAACATTCTGATTTTGGGAGGTGAGGGAGGGAAGGGAAGGGAGAGAAGGAAGGAAGGTAGGGTGGAAAGAGCACTCCGAGATTGAAGGGAATCATAGTGAAGGAGGGAAATAGAGAGGGAGGGAGGGAAGGAGGGAGGGAGGGGAGATGGTCAAAAATCCTAACCTGTTGATTCTTAAATTTTCAGGAATAGTCTGTCATGACGGTAAGACTGGAGGGCAAAGTTGCTGTATTTACGCCTTTCCCCCACAAGCTAGGCGGGGAGAGGGAAGAATGAAGGGAGGGTGAGGGTTGGATGTGGGGAGCGTTATTGAATCTCCAAGTGAAGTGCATTTATCTCTCTCTCTCTCTCTCTCTCTCTCTCTCTCTCTCTCTCTCTCTCTCCTTCATTTTCCCTCCAATTCATCCTCAACGGGAGTCCAGATAAAACCTTTTAAGATGGATTTTTTATTCCTTAAGACACCTTCAGTTCTTCTTACGACTACCCGTAGTTGGTGGAGCTTGTCTTGGACCTCTGTGTGGGCGGCAGCGTCGATGGCCCGCCTAGCCCGCCCGCCACAACCTTACGACATACAACCCCGAACTACGAAGACGCCGTACCCACGACCACACCCATGGACAGCCACACGTGCAGGGACGCTACCAAACTTCCCCGAGGTGCAGGAGTCCTCAACACAGGACAGCCGCTACAGATGGGTGGGTTGGCTCACCTTCCCCCCGCCCACACTACCCATGCAGCACACACCGCCCACGCCTGGCAAGCCCCTCTGGTAGCTCGGCCTTTCGAAGGATGCATCAGGAATTTGAGAATAAACGGAGAGGTGAGTTTGCTTGTTGCACACAGTGAAGCTACTCCAAGCCCTGTATCTGTTCCACGCTATATAGTTGTTCCACACTTTGTACTTGTTCCCCATTGAATAATGTTTCCACGCTGTGTAGCTGTGGACATACATTTAACTTAGTTTTTGTAGTAGTTTAATGAGGGTGCGCCAAGTCCGTAGACTTGTTAGTGATATATATATTTTTTTTTTTCGTGTGTACAAGAGTTTATTTTCTCTTAATGAGAATTTATCATCATATTATCTTTAGTAAACTGTTGTGTTTTCTTTGTATAACTTCTCCCCTGGTTTAATATTATTATGTTTACGGTCATTATTCATATATACTTGATCTCACACATTACTTGAACTCAATAATTTAAATGAATATTTCACTCATGAATAACTTAACCAATTGTATTTTTTTTCTGGGTACATCAGTGTCTGGAAAATCAAATGGGAGAAGTTGTGATCCCTGAACCACACTTACAACATTTATTATTATAAGTTTTGTGGAAGTAGGATTTTTTTTCTTTTTCTTCATATATCTCCTAAAGTTATCGTCATGTCCGTCACCTTCGTCGCCCCTGGCTTATCCCTCATCTGCAGGTTATAACTCGCGAGGAAGTGGACGGATTTTCACGAAACTTAGCAAGGCTGAGACGTGTCGGGTAATAGGTGAGATCCGATTACAAGATATTTTAACCAGGCAATCGTCGGAGTTCGGGATTAGATCAAAGAATACGTGTGGTGCCTGTTTTTGTTATTTTTTTCACGTTTATACATACAAGAGTAGTGATTAACTCCTGTAATAGACAAAATTATGGTATTAAATTAACAACAGTACGTCTAAACTGATTTAAACAAAAAAATTACAATATTATGTTTAGTAAATATGAAGAAAAATATAATATTCCACACTATTAACTTATCTCGGACTCTTTCTCTTGAATATTATAACCTAACCTAGCCTAACCTAGCCTACACGTTTGGCTTCACGTTTGGTATGGCTACAATAAGAGTCTCTAAGGAAGATAAGTGGACGGATGTATATCGCAATTTAAGTCTCCTTCCTCCCTTACATTACCGACCTTATATCAAGATCACGCCCTTAACGCTGACTTAACTATAATATAAGGACCTTTTTTTTTGGGGGGGGGGGAAAGGGAAGGGAGAGGATGGGAAGGGAGAGGAGGGGAAGTCTTGAGATTTAATGTCGCGTTCACAACCTACTTATTTTTTTTTTCTTAGTTTATCACGACCACAACCAAAAATTTTTCTTGTAATGTTCGTGACTGATAACTTCGAGTACACTCTTACGTTCCCGAAAATATGCCTTACGTCTGTAGCATTTTCATGACAAGTTTTGGTCATTTATTTATTTATATATCGTATCTTTAAATATTTTTGGAAAGTAAAAAAAAAAATATCGTGTTTGATTAAAAATGAGGGACGAATCCGATTGAAAACTCCTGGTGATGCATTTCTGGACCGCTTGTATTGGTGCTGATTTGTCTGGAGTGATAGGATTGGGAACCCATTCAAGTGTACTGATGAAACCCCCTATGGTGAGTTACGCTACCCACTGGAGGGTATAAACGCCTTGGATTTTCCCCATGTTTACAACTATATGTAAACAATAACATTCTAACATTCCATTCATGATCAAGGTATTCATATCACATTAAAGTCGTGTAAGATGGTATACATAGAGACTTAGCGTTGATTGCATCAGGAAAAAGAAAACGAGAGAGAGAGAGATGTGTGTGTGTGTGTGTGTGTGTGTGTGTGTGTGTGTGTGTGTGTGCTATGTGTGTGTGTGTGTGTGTGTGTGTGTGTGTGTGTGTGTGTGTGTGTGTGTGTGTGTGTGTGCTAATGTGTGTGTGTGTGTGCTTGTGTGTGTGTGTGTCCTTATTCAACGCCGTGTTACATAATCGCGGGATTTACGTAAAGGTTATGATACAGTGTATTTTAGCAGGTAAATGACTCTCGGTATTCCATACACATAAAAACGCTGAACATTACTATATCAAAAATATTCATTTCTCTCGGACATTTTCAGCTAAATTGATGTAAGGTTTTCTACATGTTCATTTAATTTTGGTCGACGTAAACTTGATGTACATTGGCTTACATAAACAAATACATATATCTACATGACATATTTTGTGATATATAAATCCCACACTCAACATAGATGTTTATATTTCTTCTGTAGGCACTTTTTTCTCTTACTTTTTTTCTATTTTTTACATTATTCATCTCGTGATTTGTCGGGGTTATTTTTGTACTTGTCTTCTAAACTCCGTATGTGTGGAGAATATGTCTCCGTTTTCTTAATAAAAAAAAAAAATCTGTAGGCCCAATCTGAATCTCCCTCACTAAAAATTCCGTAAGGTTTCAAAAATAAATTTCAAGAAACTTTTAAAAGGTTGTGTCAGTGTTTCTAAAATACCTGGAATAAAAAAAGATAAAAATGCATCCATTTAGATCAATTTTACATTAACTAAAATAAATCAAGTTTACTTCCATTAGGGTTAATGTTATAGCCATTAAAACAATTTTTTTATAATTAGGATAGAGTGGTGCCCATTAACACTCATTAATTTTCCATTATCATTAATTTTGTCACATATTTAGACTTATTTTAAACCTATTCACATCAATTATTTCCCTTTAAGATCCATTATGTTTCATTTAAGATATCTGTTCATATCAGTTCATCTTACCTTTACAGTAAAACCTCCATATAACGGACATCTCTCTCTCCGTATATTCCTTTAGATGGGGGTTTCATATCTAACGGACTTTCATATCTATGTAGTTCGTTAACGGATTTTCCTCTCCATGTAGTCCGTTAAATAGAGTTTTTACTGTATACCCTCAGCTGATGGACCTAGGCACGAGGATATTAGCACGACACAGTGCCCCAGGATGCCCGGCCCTGGATTGCCGGGCAGCCTCCCTCAACTGTGGCTTGCACGGAAGGTAGGTCATCAGGGTAATCTAGTAGGATGGCTGGTAGGACATGCTAGTAGAATGGACGGTATGGTAGGCTAGTAGGATGAATGATAGGGTAGCTAGCGGAGTGGAGTGAATTGTAGGGCAGGCTAGTGAAATAGTTAGTAGTACAGGCTATTAGAATGAACGATAAGACAGGATAGTAAAGAAGGACGAGAGAGTCAGGCTAGCAGCACGATCGGTCAGTGGAATGGCAGGTCATCCTTCTCTCTCTCTCTCTCTCTCTCTCTCTCTCTTTCTTGCCCATTTCATTACGTTTTCCTATTTATTTCCTATTACATTAAGTCTTTTTCATTATTCAGTAAGAGGAGAACGAGGGACCAGATTTATAAACACTTTTCTACGTGAGTCTGTACAACCAAGAGTTCGTCACAAAATAGTGTTGTGTCTCCATCTCTTCTCTTCTTCCTCTTTATTTTCATTTCATCTTTAGCTTTTATCTCCATTTTTTTAGTTTCTCTGAGTTCACTTTTTCTTTGGTTTTCTATTTTCTTATCGTTTTTGTATTCTCCTCTGTGTGTATTTTTATTCCCAACCATTTTGCTCCTCAATCCTTGTCCTTGTCTTTTTCTCTTTATATCTCTCTCTTTTTCAATCCCTCTTTCTCTTTCTCTTTCTCTCTCTATTCCCTTTATCCTTCGTGTCCCCCAGGACCCCAACATCTTTGCATTCGCATGCATATGGAAGTGAATTTCCTGCGGTAACCTGCTTTTCCCTGGTTCTTTCAGTGTTCCCTCCCACCTTCTCCTTCCGAAATATTCCTCTATACCTCCATTTAGGAACCAAATTCTCAAAAATACCCTCAATATCATCTAGGTTCCAGAGTCTTGAAATACTTCCACTGTCTAGTCTCTCATTATGTCACCATCTATGTCTCTATCTGTATATAAATGTCTCACAAAATTCTTAACTTCTTCTTAATGTCTGTCTCTTATAGGACCTTCTTGTTGTAGCCATCAAGGTTAGTCTCGTACAATAGTCTGTCTCTTCATCTGTGAGTCATTAACGTATAATACTTGCCTCTATCATACAGGGTCAGAGTTTTTTTTTTCTTCAGTTTTGCGTCATCTGGTTTTCTCCCTTTAGGTGCCAGGGGTGGCCGGGGCGCCTGAGGTGTGAGTGCCAGCTAGGATGGGCTGGGCCAGGGTGTGCCACGCCCACAACTCCCGCCGCTTTCAACCCCAACAGCTACGTCAAGTTGGCTCTCTCCTTCACCCCACTCGCTTACACCACCACCATCCACCTCAGGTAAGTCTCTCTCTCTCTCTCTCTCTCTCTCTCTCTCTCTCTCTCTCTGTACATATAGTATAAACCGTTTCATAAACATCGTATTTCTTTGTATCAGTTGTTTGAAGTTTCTAATATACACAGATATTTTCTTGTTTATCGTGAGGAACGATATAAATATTTATACGATATATGCACTGTCTGTTTCCACTTAGTTGTTATAAGATAATTAAATATTTAATATAGAGGTGTTTAGTGTCTGGGGCGTCAAGAAGTATTTTCGTAGACTAAGATTCATTGTCTAGTTAGATCAATCCCACACTAATGTCTCGTCCGTTCCTCGTGGTGATGTGTGAAGAAACCTTGTGACAACTTAGTGACGGTGACTCCTGTGATATTTATGATCGAGGCATTTAGAAACTCCGATTCTGGAGCGAGGGAATAAGTCCCAGCAGTACACGAGTTCCCAGAGACGGTGAAATACATTAAAACTTTGCCTGCAGTCTCGTGTCCGAACGTTCCGCTAAAGTTTTCAATAACTGCAATAAGCAAGACAAATCCTTCTGGTGGATGTAATTTTGTTCGGAAGTGTAACAACTCACCAACTTAAAGTGTCTGATATACAGGGCCGGGTAAAGTCAATTAAGGACTCAAAATACCACAGAGTACTATACGTCACAGCTACTCTGACCTGAGTCCTTTTGGGAATGTCTTATCCATTACATCATCTGAGTGAGAGGAGAAACTATTGGTACAAGAAGTACTAATTATTTTATGAGAATCAACCAAATCTCTCACTAGATTATGACAGAATATTTATCAGGTTTAAAAGCAAAAGCGTACCTAACACTTTATACTTTAAGCTGGACCACTGGTACTCCTGAGAACTTACAACAGAACTTTTGAGAAATCTTAACCCCGGGGTCCCCAAGCTCTCAGAAATATCTTATCGTGTGGTTAAGGAGTTTACAGCAGTTCGTATTGGTGGGTGAATCTATATATTACATTGGCGCACTGGAGTCGAGTCTTATTGTGAAGTGTTGTTGTGGTGTTATTGTATTATATTGTTTTTTCTATAATGTATTTGGATCTCTATTTCCCTTCCAAGAACCTCGGAATTCCCTGGCTAGGTTAGGCTAGGTTAGGTTACGTTACGTTACGTTACGCTACCTTACGTTACCTTACGTTACGTTACGTTACCTTACGTTAGAGCATCTCGTACCTTAGTTTGAGATGTCATGCCTTACCTACCCGTGCGTGTTAAGCCCGGCATACGTCTTATCTTGTATCTCTCAACACTTTGTTATACTGTCACCTTTCTGTATTCCGCCGTCTTGTTTCACACCTAAGCCTCACTTCTGATAATCCAGTCATTATCCTTTCATCAAAATATTTAACAACTAGCTTCTTAAAACAATGTATTATTCTGTTTACATTCAGTAACTTTACGGGTACTATTGAAAGTAAAAGCAACAGATTACCGCAAGAATATCTTGTCGTTATCGATTGCTTGCTTGGATAAAGATAATTAATGTATCTTTGAAAAAATTTAATGTTAAAGACATTTTAAATGATAACGTTCCGGCAGTTTCTTTCCATATTTTAAGAAATCCTTTTGTCAGTATTATGATTATTGAATCGAAATTTTTATGGGGTTCGTTCAACAATGATTAAAATGACGAGAGTGAAGTAATTCCCTGTAGCGTCAGTTCAATTGTACTATGGCCGTGGGTCAGCCGTCCATCCTCCATAAATCTGCAAACTTTTCACATTTTCGAATTCTTCTCAAAAACTCGTTGGCTCAGTGTTGCTAAAACTCCCCAAAAATGCTCTAAATTGTGGTCGATGTCAGAGTTCACCGTCCAAAGTAGTTGCCACGAGTAAAACAGAAAATATTTTAAATACCTTCTCGTCTGAAACTTCGAGGTCTGTTTTCTTGAACTTGTTGGGATTCTTCCATGGAAAGTCAGTCTCCTCTTGAAACTGTCTGACGTCAATGTTTGAAACCCAAGATTGTGTGTTAATACCTCAAAGGCCTCCTGTTATTGAGTTTCTCCCTTGTTGACGTCAGGAACTTAAAAACCCAGTGATTGTTTTTCTCAAATCAGATTACCTTCTAAAACAAATCTTTCTAAACACAATGTACAATGCCAAGACAAAAATAGCAGCTGATATGAGGTTGAACTATAAAATATGTCTTCTCTTGGCATAAATAAGCTCACGGGCTTTGTTTATCGTGGGTATGTGAGATAGCTTTAGAACTTGGAGAAAAAAATTTAACACAGGTTGCCTCGACTCTCCTTCCATGATCCAGTTACGTTGGGAGAAGTTTGAACAATAAAAACACAGTTGAGCATCGCGGCCTCCCAACACAACACGACTCTACCGTCACGTTCAACAAATATATACCTGAGGATACACGGGAACGTCGGGGAGAGAAGGTACACACACAAGACTCACAACCCATTTACATGTACACGCGGATGTGCATATACCATAACCTTTAACCTCACACACATACACATGCACATACAAACCCATACCTATACCCAAGCGGGAGCAAAGTAATATGTATAGATGAGTTTATATATACAGTATGTGCAGTACGCGTGTGTGTGTGTGTATGTATAATTTGATTACACACACACACACACACACACATACATACACATACACACACACACGTCTTTACGATGCTTGTAGGATGATTCTTTATGACACTGGTAGTGAGGCACAAACTGGTCACCGTTAGATTGTTGTGTTGTCAAGTGAACCAGCAGGAGAGACTGGCTTAATGCAGATTAGAGAGTATATATGTTTTACTGAACGTTTCTCTTGTTACTGAAGTCCTAGCGATTGACTGAAGTTCTTGTGTTTTTACTGAAGTTCTCGCGTTTTACTGAAGTTCTCGCGTTTTACTAAAGTTCTCGTGTTTTACTGAAGTTCTGGTGTTTTATTGAAATTCCCGCGTTTTACTGAAGTTCTCGCGTTTTACTGAATGTTTCTATTGTTATTCAATTCCCCGCGTTTGGCTGAAGTTCTTGTGTTTTTACTGAAATTCCCACGTTTTACTGAAGTTCTCGTATTTTACTGAAGTTCTCGTGTTTTACTGAAGCTCTCGCGTCTTACTAAAGTTCTCATGTTTTACCAAAGATCTCGTGTTTTACTGAAGCCTTTAAGAACTCTTAATATTATATCAAGTTTAGGTATTTGGCTGAGAAGTAACTAAAACGGAAATACGGAGTGAAAAACCTAAAGGTGACCTGTGATTACGCAGGAGGAGATTAATTTAGCTAATTAAATCCATAAGAAGAAGAATACATTAAGGAGTAATTACGATAGCTATCATTCATTCCAGCGAATAGCAATCATCATATGCATAAACAGGTAAGTGGTAAAAAAAAAGAAGTAAAAAGAATGATGAGCTGTAACATTGAAAATGTCTCAGACGCCGTGGGGCTATAGGCCAAGAAATCAAGTAAAAATTGAAGAAATGAGGGAGGTAGATGGGTCGTAATATGAAAACATCGAATAAAAGACACTGGGATATTACTATGACCTTCGTGGTGATGAGTGAATTTTATATCACGAAGAAAGATTATTTAAAAAAGAGAGATGGTACCTACAGCAGTGACAGCACGAGTAATGGTTGGTATTTCCTTCGACTCCAATATGACACGCGTAAGGAAAGCTACTGTACATCACCCCTCGTATGCCAGGTACATGATCGTGACTCTCAAGATTTCGATCACAGGGAAGGATGGTTAGATATACAACAGCGTCAGATATATGAATGGGAATGAAAGAGTAAGTTGAGAGATAGTAAGATTCCGAAGCGTTAAGTGAATGAAAAAAAAAATCATATCTATAGTATTTAGATTTCTATATAAATTTCAATAGTGATAAAAATTTCATTAGTATCACCTCCAGGAATGTTCTGTATATAAATTTACATGCATAAACAATATTATCTGTAAGTCACCTCAGAGTTCTTCGTCGTTTGAGGTGATATCTTTGGTAACATTCCTGTGTGTGTGTGTGTGTGTGTGTGTGTGTGTGTGTGTGCTCGTGCGTCCAAACGAAGGAGAATTTTAGCGAAAGACACATAAATATATAACAACGAAAAACTTATAATTTGACCAGAATTGATGGCACTTTTGTTACATATTATTGTTTTGTAAACATACAATATAGTATATCAGTTAACGTGTAATATGATACAAAAATAATACCAGAATAATTAATGGATTAATATATCAAATAAAAGTAGGTAATTGAAGCATTAATTGAAGCAATACTCGTTAAGCTTAAATTGAAAAAGTTCACATGATGCTCTCTCTCTCTCTCTCTCTCTCTCTCTCTCTCTCTCTCTCTCTCTCTCTCTCTCCCCGTTTCATCACACTCCTTCATCTCCCATTCTTTCTCTCACTATCTTCCTTAATATTTCACTCCTCCTCCTTCACTCTCCCTCATTATCCTTCTCTCTCAGTTCTCCTCCCCTCACAACCTCCTTCCCAACTCATTTTTTCCTCCTAACTCTTACATCTTACTCCTCTTTCCCATAATTTATTTGAGTCCTCTTCTCTTTTCCTCTTACATCTCATCATTTCTATCTCTCTTTCTCTCGAGGTTCCGGACTTGGCGTCGTGAGGGACAGCTGGTAGTACTGTCATCGGAAGGAGGCGGTGACCAGCTGAGTCTACAGCTGGTTGGGGGCCAGCTGTGTGTGGGGGTCCACCTTCATCCCCACCTTCACCCCCAGCTACACCCACAGCGGCAGTCTTCCTCCTCCCTCTGCCTCACAAGGGCTATCCTCAGTGATGGTCGCTGGCATGCTGTCGAGCTCTCAAGGTAAATAAATTGTGCAAGTAAATGTTTTCCTATTTTTTTTACGTCTGTCTGTATGTCTGTCTGTCTGTGATTACCTGTCCACTTGTCTCTGTTTGTGTGAACGTGTACCTGTCTGGGTACATGTTCCCTTAATGAACCCAACACATATTACATCGCTGAATAACTCACACCTCTCCTTCGTTTCTGGTGCAAGAAGAATGGGAATGGCCTTTATTCTTAATTGAACTATTTATATTTTTTATTTTAAACTTTTTCTCATTTGTCTATTTTGTTGATTTTGTTGTTTTTAGATAAGTTATATATTGATATTGTTGGGTAGGGTATTTATTTGTTTATTTATTTATTTATTTATTTTAATTCTATGATTGCATTTAGTTCCTTTAGCTATCGGTAATTCAACGAGAGAGAGAGAGAGAGAGAGAGAGAGAGAGAGAGAGAGAGATTCATGTGGATATTCAGATAAATTAATAAAAAAGATAGACACTTAAGTAAACAAATACAGTAATATACTCAATATACCATACACAAACAGATAGAAAATATAGATGAAAAAAAAACCTAGACACACACACACACACACACACACATATACACAGTTAGCCACACAGTATTAACCTGTACATGAAGCAGAGTGTTTATGGGGTCACAAGGGTAAGCCGAGAGTGAGAAGTATTTATCACGGTGATGTATGTTGGTTCTGGTGACGACTCTTAACATAAGTGTATGAGACAGCTATGACTCTCCCTCTTACTTCTTATTCATCCACCTGATTTACTACTGACTCTCATTGTATATAGTGTTCACCGTGTTTATTTTGACGGTGAGTTGTCTATGGTGTGTGTGTAGGGTGTGTGTGTGTGTGTGTGTGTGTGTGTGTGTGGGTGTGTGTGTGTGTGGGTGGTGTGTGGGGTGGGTGTGGTGTGTGGGTGAGTGGGTGTGTGTTAGTCGTAGTACTTTACAGTGCAAATTTCTCGCTTGTTTGTAGGTTTTATTTGTATTTTTTAGTCTCTTATATTTATTTACTCGTTTATCTTAATATATTTTACATTTCCTGCCTTTTTATTTCGTTTCTTTTTGTTTCGTGTAGTGGAGTGAGACAGGGAGGAAAGAGGACCTGCTTGCTGGGGAGTATTATATGTCTATTCTATTATATCGATGGTGTTTATTATTTATATATGTCATATTTTATGTAGGAATCTTTGTGTCTTTTTATTAATCTGTCTTTGTTATTCCTCACCACACTTAGTATATTCATTATTGTTTCTCTTACTTTTCTTATATCAGATTTTTTTTTTTTCATTTTGTTTACAAGTTATAGAATTTATGATACAATTATAATATCGCTTAAATCGTCAGCGTAATGGAAGGAAAATTTTAAGTTACAGATACTGAAATTATACTTGGTGATAATAGTGAAATAAATAATAAACAAACTCACAATACATACACCCAACTGTATAATACATAATATAAACAATAATGAAAAACACAAAGAAAATAGCGTTACATACTACAAACAAAGCAATATACTAAAACACTCCACAGGAAAAGACAATAAAATACGCTATCAATAAAACATTAAAACACTACCAATAAAATAATAAAACAAACCTCCCACGTAAACAATACGTCCTTCCTCTTAACCTTGTCCTCCAGCGAGCCCTTACACAATGTATGCGGTCGACCGCTCGCTTCTGCATATGCAATTTCAGCCTCCGTGACTTATACTGTACACAACTTTCCCCAAGGCACCGGGCAAGAAACTGGATAGCGATGCAAGTAAATTTTTCTGTTTCCAAAGTTCGTCAAAATGAATCCTTCTGACAGGGAATAAAATGTATATTGGAGGAAAACATTTGTTGGCATGAAGGTGTTGGGATATGTGTCGGGGTACTGTGTTTACTGTGTTTTAACCAGAAGAGAGATAGGATGGTATTTTACCAACTGACTTATCATAGGGTCTCGTAATGGATCGACTATAGGGTCAGAATGTCAAAGATTAGGGTTACTTTAAAATGCAAAAAGTTGAAGGTCACAGAAGTAAATGAATAATAAACAAAGAGTCTTGGCATTTTTGTTTCTATGAATTATAATGTTAAGTATCAAGGCAACAGGAATCATCATTCCTTATTAGTATTTACAAGCGACGTGGGTCATGTGTGTTTCCTTTCTCTCAGGAGTAAAGTCGTATATGGTGAATGGAAAAATCGACTCATAATCTGAATAAAACGAGTTTGTTACTTTCTTCTTCAGGTTATAATTGTTGAATCTCTCTGTCACTCTCCCAATTCTCCATTACCCTGGACGTCGGCTGAGTGAAGCCCTTTAAAGCTGTCTCCTCTCCTGGATCACCTACCTGCCTCAGCCTTACTTGGGTGGATCACTGGTACGGGTCTTTGTGTCAAGCTTTGACTCGCCATGCGAACATTCCGAGCTATTTACTACTGAACGTTTAGAAACTGTTTCTGTGGATGTACTGTGTGAGTCGACATAATCAAGGGACTGCACAATGGGCTTTGCTTGTATTCTTTGTAACCTAATTATTTACAATTAAACGCATGTTAAGAACTTCAGCAATAGCAGTGGCACATTAGCATTGACTATCTGACGGACTATCAGGTTGGATTCCCTGTTGGAAAGAAAAGAGAAAACTAGAGAGCTAGGGAGGGAGTGAACGCAAGACAGATAGACACTGTGAACGGGGGAAGAGGATAACATATGTGTATCTAAACTAGTGAAGTAGATACTATTACAACACATTATTATCTTATTGTTTTGTTGTTTTCGTTATATATTCTTAACCTAACCGGACACACACACACGAAGATTTAATTTACTCTTACAATCAAGTTCTCTAATACTGACACACTATGAATGACACTTCTTATAAAGAACATTTTAACAATTGGCTGTGGCTGACCAAATCCTGACCATATTTTGTCTCATTCACTCCCACCCCCCCCACCCCCCCCATCTCTCGCTCTCTCTCTCTCTCTATCATTTTCTCACATCTTCCAGTTTTTCTCGACTTCCTTACATACAACATCCAACTTTTCCTCCACTTCCAAATTTACCTGCCTGACACATCACCTGATTTATCCTCCCTATCTCACCTTAGGTTCGGTGGGGCGACCATCCTTCTGGCGGACGAAGGTGAGAGGGAGCTGTACAATGCCTCCCTGGCACTGCTGGGGGGACCGGGGACAGGAAACCCCCTTCTGTTGCAGGTGGATGCTGAAGAAGGTGTACACGTGGGTGGATCACCTGAGTACCTCGCTCTCAGTGTACTTAGTGTCCACCGCGACTATTTTGACGGTGAGTTGTCGGTTGTGTGGGCGTGCGAGCGTGAGTGGGTGCGTGCGTGCGTGCGTGCGTTAAAAGGAATATGAAACATAGAGTACCAGCATGAGATAAAGATAGTGTAAAAGAAAGTTCAGGAGAGATAAGAGGAGTTAAATAGATACTTGTACTGATAAAAACCACTAATGACCTCACTCAACCTCCACTCTCAAGGCTGCATGGACGACTTACGTATTTCTGGCCGAAGTCTGCCCCTCCCTCCTACCCTCAACACTACGGCCTGGGGTAAAGTGAGGAGGTTTCAGGGAGTTGAAGGAGGGTGTGTGGCTCCCCCTGCCTGCGCCAACGTCACCTGTAGCCCACCACTCACTTGTGTTGACACTTGGAGGAGCTACCACTGTGGGTATGTATGTCTGTGAGGGTGAGAACTGTGTTGGCTTTCAGTTGTCTCTATTTCTCTTTTTTTTAGGGGTGTGTTTCTTTCTTTCTTGTTCTCAATTGAATTATTTTAGCTTTCACTCCCCCTCCCCCTCCTCCTACTCCTCTTCTCTCTCGTTCCTTCTTTGTGTGTTTTACTTTCTTTCTCTTCTGGTTCTTCTTATTATATTCGTACTTCTTCTAAATTATTATCATCATTATTATCATAATCGTCATTGTCATCGCCATCACCATAATTTTTATTCTTATCATTATTATTATATATTACTATTATTATTATTTTTTTTTTTAATTATTATTATTATTATTATTATTATTATTAATGCTGTTGTTACAGTTATTGTTTTTCGACTATTTTTTCTTGTTTCTCTCTTATTGAATATCTTCGTCGCCTTCTTCATCTTCTTTTCCTCCTTTCCTTCTTCTTCCTCGGGTATTCATCAATTTTCAATTTTATTTCCACACACACACACACACACACACACACACACACACACACACACACACACACACACACACACACACACTCAGTTAATATGTCTCTCTTCTCATTTCCAAGGCTCCAATTCTCTTACCTTTCATTTATCTCTTCATTTTTCATACTCTGGTCCGCTGTAAATATTTCCTGCTATTTTTATTTTTATTTTGTCTTCATTGTTTTGTTCCGCTTGTGGCTCTTCCCCTCTCTTGTCTCTTAAAGCCGGGGAGACTTTGCACAACTTTTCATTTCCTCCTTGTTGTGTTCTCTCTTTTACCTCTCTCTCTTTTATCTCTCTCTCTCTCTCTCTCTCTCTCTCTCTTTAGTCCATTCGCACTTTATTCTTGCCTCTTATTTTCACTTTCTACTCTCTCTATACTCTCAACCTTTCGTTTTCTCACTTGTATACCAATGGTTTTATTGTAAGCCTTCCATGTCACTTTTTCTGCCAAATTCTTTTTTTTACCATTTGTCTTTTGGTTTTTTTCCGAGCCTAGATGTAGACACACTGTAGACTAACACAAAAAAATTTCCTTCCTTTGGGGAAATTCACTAATGTCATATCCCTAAATTAGCAAAGACATCACTAGTATATTTTCTCTAGTTGGAGTAATAAGATGTTAACATAGGGATTATTGAGATTCATTTATATATATATACCTAAAGAAAGTATAGAGAAAATCCCTATAATTTCCTGGTTAATGTTTGATTGCAAGAAAATGTAAGTTTTAATCAGAGTAATGGAGACGATGGAGATTAAATGAAAAGAAGAAGATGACAGCTTTCACTTATCGTATGACATTAAGGATTTGGATTTAGAATGTATATAAAGCAACATTATTTAAGTATAGAAAATGGGATGCTAGATGGTGATTGATCATGAGTATAATTATTATGGTGATCATGAATGTGTGGATGTAAAAATTATATGAATGATTTTAATACCAACACATTATAGATTCCGTAACTAAGAATATGAGTGTCTGTGAATCTATAATGAAAAACATATAGTGAGGACTATGACTGATTATGATGATGAGTTTGGTATGTGTGGTGGATACAGGGATAGTGTAGATGTCAGAGGTAAGTAATTAAGACATTCACATTATAATTTAGATATGGTCTAAACCCTTGACGAGAGTGACGATAACTGATGGATTTTGATGATAGTAATGGTAATGATATCAGAGTTCATGATATTGAAAGTGACATAATGATTGAGGTGGTGAGGTGGTCATGGTATGTAAAAGGAATCAGATGATCTTGGTGGAATGATGATGATGGTGATGATGATGATGATGGTGATGGTGATGATGATGATGATGATGATGATGGTGGTGGTGGTGATGATGATGATGATGATGATGATGATGATGATGATGATTACATATGCGTTTATGTGCGTGATAAATTCATTTTAGATATTTTATTGATAATGGTGATGTAGGAGATGAGAACTAGTGTGGTAATAATGGTGATGGTGATAACATTGATAACAGTGATAACATATATAATGATGAAAATAATAACAATAATAATAGTGATACAGTAGAGGAAATAGTTATGCGATTATGACTATATATATATGATCTGTGTAAGAACTTGACTCCCTGACTGGTGCTTAAGGACCCTGGCTGCTGAAGGGAATAAATTATGAACATATGAAAACGACGAAGAAAATACTGTGCAAGTGATAAGGCCTGTTTGACCACTAAAGGTCTTTTCGGGTTCAAAGGAGAGAGCGAGAGAGAGAGAGTGTGTGTGTGTGTGTGTGTGTGTGTGTGTGTGTATGTGTGCGCGTTCGTGTGTGCGTATGCGTCAATGGACTAGACATCTTTGAATCACTGTATCGTGACATAAATCCCTAAACAGTAAGGTAAAGCCAACCTTCCTTAGTCCACCTGGGAGAAAATGGTATCCGCAAAGCCTACCAGATCGTACTGCAAGCATTTCTTTCGTCCATTTTCGTATTCTTTAATCATTTTTCTCTTTCTTCTTATCTATCTATATTTTCACAGCTTATCTTTTTGTTTTTACATAATCTTCGTATTTATTTTGTTTTTGCTCTACCTATGTATATTGGCTGAAATATCGTGACATCATTTTATTTTCCCGTGCTTACTGGTTGAAACGTCGTAACGTCATTCTCTCTGCTTATTGCTATTGATGTCATTACCCCTTCTTGTATTTATTAGGTGTAGCCCTGTGACGTCACCCTATTTACACTCTTTTATTGGGTAAATCTCCGTGATATCATAGTCCTTATCTACAATAATTGGCTGAAACTACGGATGTTGTTACTTAGCCACACCCATTTATTGAACGCTATTTATTACAAGACACATAAAATTGCCAAGCTCCATTAAGCATAGCGCGGTTCTCCATTTTCCTTCCGCCAACTCCTTTCTCTACTTTACTGAAACGACCACCAAAGGAAAGCATTTCATCATGAGACACACACGTCGACCGTATGTTGTATGTTAGGTATTTTTATGGTATTGGATAAGTAAAAGAGCAGTCATGTGTTTCAGGGATATGTGCCTGATGTAGCCGGAATCTTATAGGTATATTCATGTGCTGTCAAAGTGTTTGTACCAGGGATACGCACTGCTTATTACAGGTGATGTGTTTCTTGTGTGTGTGTGTGTGTGTGTGTGTGTGTGTGTGTGTGTGTGTGTGTTGTAGTGGGGATGAGCTTCTGTTTGTTTATGAAGTTTTGTGTAATCACGTTTTGCTTCTACACTCTGTTGGATTTCTTTGCTTTAACCTCCCCTCCCCCCCTTCTCTCTCTCTCTCTCTCTCTCTCTCTCTCTCACATACCTATTAATGTATATATCTCATGGTTGAGGTGTGAGGAGGGTCGCGTGGTGAGCGGGAGTGGAGAAACCTGTGAGGATATCGACGAGTGTTCCTGGCGACCTTGTCTCAACGCTGGCTCCTGCTACAACACACATCCGGGTACGTACCGCTTCCTTTCATCATTGTCCTACTATGTTATGTACAATCTCCTTCACTTGTGAGTTTACAGGGGCTTGTCATATAAATATTCCACAAATCATTATCATTGATTATTTGTTTTAATATTGTTTTAATTTGATTCCATAGTATGTTTACTATTGCTAGGATCCTTCTGTCGAATATAAACAAACACAGAGCTGCCACACCACACAAAATCTGATGAGGCCCTGTAAACGCACTAGTGAGGGGTACTGTATATTTCACTATCTGTTACCTTTTTAACCTTCTCACAAAATCACACATGCAAGTAAATCACATCTGCCATCGAGTGTTACTTAAGATTTTATTTTGATGTCTCGTTTCTCTGTTATTTCTGTAATATATTTTTTCCACATTTAGCTCTGATAATCCGGTTCCTCGTGGTCATCTTCGTAATTATAAGATTTAAAGAAAAGTTAATCTCTATTCTCTAAGATAAATTTTTCTTCTTTTCGTTAATTTGTTGGCCGTGTGCTTAAAAATTTCACGGTTAGAGTACATAGATGATAAAAGTCTGTCACTGGTAAATGTGTCACCACTTGTCACCAGCACCTACATGGTGTTTATATAAGCTGGATCGTATTTATGACTAATAGGCTTGGTCAATGTTGTTGCTTATTACAGCCAACGTACAAGCACCATCACACACCCCCAATCCAAATTGGCTAAAGGTGTGTGTTGCTTTCTTTAGGAGGTATGTCAACAAACTTCTCATTTTCATTAACAGTTGAATGTGTTTAGTGAGGTCACCAAGAGCATTATTAACATACACCTCAACAGTATAACCAATACAACGAGGAAAGTTTACAGCAGCTGGTTTGAAACACCATCGTTGTTTACAGAAAAGCTGCAAATTAAAAATGGGTTCAAAAAGTCAGTCAGGTCGCTGGACTTCCAAGTATAAACATCTGCTACGTTGTGAACGGTTGGATATCAAGAATTCTTTAATTTCATCTCATTATTTACGAAATTACTCTTGTTTTAAATATCATTCCGAGTATTTCTGCCATCCCTGAGTTTGTAAGATGAGGAGACGTTAGCAATGAAAGCGAGAGAAATGGAGGAGAAAGATAAAGCGAGGCATGTTTATAATAGACCATTCAAGAGGGGGACGCTGCTTCACCCAGGTGCAGAGATAAACAGAACTCGCCCAGTGTCGTTCTTGTCAACTCCACGTTCCTCTCTCGTTCTTGTCATATCTGACTGTCTTTTACCGAAGCCTGGAGTGAGATCGTGTAGATGTACTGTAGAGAGTTCACAACAGATCCAGCGCAACACACCCATGTCCCTCACGCTTCACGGTGCATCACCTCCCTGCAGTGTGTGAGTGTGGCACATACTTTATTTATTATAGCCAGAGGTAACATTGTACAATTTAACATAGATGTACTCTACATAATTACAAATGCTCAAACGACCTCGCTTGGTGAGGTAAAAGCCTATTGTGCTTTTACCATTACTCTGTGATCTACAGCACTTAAACTACCAAGTGCAGTAAATTTTGTCCTTCAGATTACACACCTCAGTAAGGTCTCTATAAATGATGTCCTTTTCATCCTCTAAAATCCTTTCTCTTAATTCTTCCACCGAGCTGCTCGTTAGTTGCCATTTTTTGGTGTAAACTGGACAAATCAGTTCTCCTTTTTTTATTTCATACTTGTATATACAAAAGAAAATCTTCATAACTTCTAGTATTATCATCAAGTATATACTGTAATTATAATGAAAAACATTTGCGTTGGAAACCTACCTAAATTAAGTAACCTTTCTTCTATTTACCCCGACATATATCCTACACTTACAAAACGTAGGAGTGGTTAGGAAAAACACTAGAGCATTAACCACAATAATTTAAAGCTTTCCCCTTGTCCGAAACAGGAGGGTACGTGTGCGCGTGTCCTGTGGGGTTCAGCGGCCAACACTGCCAGTTGCCTGACGTAGGAGAGACCTCGTTAAAATTGTCCCTTGGAGCCCTGCTGGCCATAGTGGTATGGTGTACCTTCCTCCTCCGTGAGTACCTCAACGTGTTTTAGTATGAATATAAGGGTTCTTAATAATTCCTAACTCTTCTGTTTAATAACAGTTATAAGACAATCAATTTTTAAGTATTTTCATATATATATATATATATATATATATATATATATATATATATATTAAATCCTTCCACGCTCAGATATCTTCACCATCTTGCATGTAGACGTTACAAACTGCTAATAGAAAGATTCGAGGCGGTGAGAATTTTCAAAGTGCGTTGTATAAGGAGCACAAGACCCGGGCATCACACCCACATAGCTGGATAGTGAGAAGTCAGGTTAAAGATGGTATCGTTAACTGCGAAATACCTGATAAGAATCATTTTTTGTTTAGTGTGTATAAGAAGACAGAACTACCAATGGCACGTTAACCATTAAAAATGCAAAAAATATATATTTAAATTACTGATTAAAAGTTATTATTATCCTCATTTTAACACAATAGAAAAAAACAGGTTACAAAAACAATAATGTAGGATGCAGTTGTTGTTTTTTCAACGTTTTTAACTATTTTTTCTCGTGTAAATTAGAAAAAATAATTCTCAAACTTCTAAACCAATGACGGTTATCACAAAACAATTTATTCTGTACGTAATAAAATTATTATCCAATATTGTTTTTTAATTTTATTCTTTTTTCGTGTTGTATAAATTAATCGAAATAAATTCCCCAAACCATAAAAAACCAATGAAGAGTAAATTCACTCCCATAAATCTGGAAAACGCTGTGAATATATCTAACGTTCGCACATTCAGTAACATCCCGAGGCCAAATTCCATGCACATCTTTTTTTTTCAATTTCCATAATTAACATTATAATTATAACTTTGCAATTTATTAGTGTTGTTAATTTCCCACTAATCGTTGTTGAGCTGAGCACGAGAATATTTTCCTGAGCTTATTACACACAAGTTATTTTTTTCGTATATTTAATTTAGAGTAAATATCAAGGGCCAACACATCGTCGCACACTTTCAATTTACCGAGAAACGAGTTACAGAGAAAGAGATAAAAAAGAAACGTGGAGAGAGAGAGGGGGGGCAGAAAGAGGGGAGGTAGGGAAAGAATGGAGCGAAAAAGAGATAGAGAGGGGGAGCAGAAAAAAGAAAAAGGGAGAGAGAGAGAGGGGGGGGACAAACAGAGAACGAGACACAAAGAAGAGAGAGTTAGAAAGAAAGAAAAAATGAGTAGAGAGAAAAGGAGAGGACAGGTGACAAGAAGAAATTTAGGAGAGTAAATTACAAGGAATTAAAAAATGTGGAAAGAGAGACAGACAGAAAGACAGAAAAACAAAAAAAATTTACAAAAAAGAGAGAGAACAGAAACCAGATAATGAGACAGAAAGAAATAATGAAATAGATTGCAAGAGTGATAAAAACTTAAACTAATAGAAAGTAAAAATATAAAGAAATTATATAACAAGAGGAATGAAAAAATAAATGGTGTAAATAAAGAGATGAAGATATACTGTATTATAATCACATATTTTAGAGATAGTAAGTGAAACCTGGCAAGCCGGCACCGTAGAGCTTTACCATAGCCGCTCAGTTGTAGACAATCCGGCGATAGAATGTACTGTGCTCTCAAATGTTGTTGGTTACTATGTGAACAGAATTTTAACTTGTTTCTAGTCCTAATGTTAAAACATAGATGACGATACACTAGAAAAATAAACATTTAATTAATACTTGTACGCTTATGATATTTTTAGAAGTATATAAGGACTCAGGCAATAACGATAAAAAATAAATTTCTTTTTTTTTTATCTTTATAGTAATACTGACAGTAAGCTTATAAAATAATATTGTAAGGATATAATAAGTTTAGTGACAATCGCTAAACATAAAATAACAATCATACATACAAATTCTTACATCATATTAAAAAATTACATTAATGTATTTGTGATCATCATTCATATCATTAACTACTGAATTATATAATATGCATAAAAATAACAACATCAGGAGTGTGTTTTTGTTAGTGTTTAAAATTGTCGTGAATGTTACTTAAAGACCATGGATGATGAAACAGCAAAGTGCATTAGAGTAATTACAAGGCTTACCGGATTATATTCACTGGAGGAGTATTGTCTGTCTGTCTGTCTGTCTGTCTGTCTGTCTGTCTGTCTGTCTTTCCTTCTCTTTATTTATTATCTCCTCTCTCGGTCTATCTTTACGTTCTTTCTTTCTTTCTTAGTTTGCTCTTCTTTGTCTGGTTGATTCTTTTTATGTTTAGCTATATTTCTCACTCTCTCTCCCTCTCCTCCTTTCTAATTTACTTTCTATTTTTCTCACATTCTGTCTCTTTTTCTCCTGTCCTTTCCCGCCTCTTTCTCCTTCTGTCTGTTTCTCACTTTTACATTTGGGCTTAATGACCAAGGAGACGTGAGTGAGATCTTCAATACCCAAGGCACGTAGTGTACCTGAGTTTGTCTTCGTTTTAACTTTGTTGTATTTATAATTATATTAATATCTCTCTCTCTCTCTCTCTCCTCTCTCTCTCTTTTTCAATCTTTTTATCTTCTTACCTTTTATTTTCTGTTTCTCATTCACTTATTCTTTCTTCGTCTCTTTCCTCTTGTAACTAAAACCCCATTGCGGTTTCCAAAGTGCGACCATGGAAATATTAAACACAATTTCCAGCGAAACTTTCTTCTGTTACACACTTGTTCCTTGGTGTATATGTAACTACGCAACTACACCTTTAGGGACTACCTTTATGGTAATCATCTCATGTTTTTGAATCACTACGTAGAGTTGGCTGAAAACCATCTTCTTGGATAAAGCGTATTAGGTGGGTTGGTACTCGTTAACTAGGAACTATTAAAGAGAATTAATTTTTTTGGTGTGAATTCTAGGAGGTTAATCTCGTAGGGTTAAAAGCCAAATTAGGTCTCAATTACTGTAGGTCTTAGTTTTAATAGTTCCCATTTATAATAAGACCTAGTTCTAATCGGTTCCAGTTTTGATTGGTCCTAAATTCCTAATCCATAACCTATTGTCAAGATAGTCGAGTGTTTTTACAGTGAAGGTGAAGAATTTAACGGTAGTAACACTGAAGTATTCCCTCACAGGTACATCCAGGTAAAAACATCAAGGTGAAAATTCCTAAACAGGAAACATTCGCGTTTGATATCTTTAAGCAGAAGCTCAAAACACCACCATGGTAATCTAAATGATACTTCCAGTCAAATTCTAATTAATCAGATGCTACAGAATCTATACCTAGCTGAGAATTGTTAAGGAATAATATCAACTATTAAAATAATCGTCTTAAGAACCCAAACATCTTCTTGGCAGGGCCCCGAGTCATATATCCATCCTCACATACGACAAATAATGGTTGTTTTTACAGTGTTGATCTGCGCCTTCTTGCTCCACCAACACCATCGTCGCTCAGCGGTTAGGAGAGGCGAGGGAGACGTGAAGGGAGGGCCCCACCCTCTGAGAGAGCCCGCGGCCACGCCCTGCACGCCTACGCCCAACCTGCTGGAAATGCAGTTGCTCAGGCCGCCTAGAGCCAATGGTCAGCCCGCCTGGTCCAGGAACCCCAATATTGCAGGTGAGAGGAAGCCTGAGTGAGGGTGTGGGGGAGAGAGAAGTTGAAGGGGAGTGAAGAGAGAGAGAGAGAGGCAGGTGAGGATGGAGATTTGGAGGATGGGGGGGGTGTTGGAGGGGTAGGAGGGATGGGAGAAGTAAGAGTGTAAACGTTTTTTGTGTAAAAAATCTACCATGTGTGCTGGAAATACTGGATGATACTGTGTCTGTATATGTATATGCGTGTATGTGATAGTATGTTTATATCTGTATATATATATATATATATATATATATATATATATATATATATATATATATATATATATATATATATATATATATATATATATATATATATATATATATATATATATACATATATATATATGTCTGTATACATAATATCATTTTATGTATGTAAGAATTTGCATGCATGTAATTGAGAGCATTTATATATTTGTGTAAGTATATGTATACATGTATGTATACACATCTATATATGTGCGAATTTGTGTGCGTGAATACCTGTATGTGTGAATATGTACATGCAATTGTATGCATTTGCATTTATGTATGTGACGTGTATATGGAGTTACAGATGCATTGGCAACAGATGTGTCTACAGTGTGTGTGTATTGATCACCACAGTCTTAGAGTATTTATGATCATATGAAACTAAATGTAAACAAGAACATCATTAGTGTAAATATAACATCACCACAAATGACTTGTTGATGTTTTACTCTTTTAATTATTCTTTTTTTTATCATCTGTTTATGTTTGAGATCTTCCTTCCTTCATCCACCACCTGGTGTTGTATTTGATTTTATGGCTGTTATTTCATTATTCTATTTTTCCTCTATATCCTCTTTCAATCTCCCTCCTTCTATCTTATTTTTGGTTTCTTTCTTTGTATCTTCCTCCTCATCAGTCGGCAGTTCTCCACGTCCTTCACCGCCGCTTTCCTCCACCTTATCTTATCCTCGGCTTCCTTCGTGGCGTCCTTCTACCTGATATTCCTCATTATTCTTTGCCTGTCTTCATCACATCCTTCTACGTTATCACTTGCTACTCTCTCTACTAATATATATTTTTTTAATCTATAATGACCAGTGAGGCCTTAATGGCGGCGTCTTAACGGGTCCATTATTTACCTCCAACCATTCATCACGGCCTGAAGACAAATCGGTCATTATCAAGTAGGAACCATTTATAACTGTCTCCTACAAGTATCGTTGCGTCTCCGGGTAGATGTGGATGTGCTCCAAGTGGACGCCGCCTCCGTCACCAGTAGTATGGAGGACCAGAAACGCGGTAATGCCTCCTACACGTCGGGTCAAGGAGGACATGAAGGTGGAAGAGTGGAGGAGAAAGGGCGTAAACGTGGAGGAGGAGGAGGAGGAAGAAGTGGAGGAGGTGGAGGAAGGAACAGCCCACCTGCCGGAGACGACTTAAGGAACTATGCTTACGAAGGTGAAGGGTCATCCCCCGGATCTCTGTCTTCCTGTAAGTCTTAACAGTGAGGTAAGAGAGAGAGAGAGAGAGAGAGAGAGAGAGAGAGAGAGAGAGAGACGCGTGAGAAAGACAGAGACGCGTGAGAGAGACAGAGACGCGTGAGAGACAGAGACGTGTTAGAGACAGAGACGTGTAAGAGACAGAGACGTGTGAGAGATGAACCAAGAATGATGGAGAAAACCTACAGTAGTTCTAATATTTAACACAGAAAAGGACATATGAAATAAAAGTAAACACATTATAAGAAAATGGTAATATTCTGGTAAGTTACATCAATAAGTTTTCCTTCCTTCAGGTTTGGAAAGTTGCAGCGGAAGTGCCAAGTTCCTGGACGGTTTCCGGGAAGTTGCTCACATGTTAGAGTCTTGGGACCCGACCAACCACCAATCAGCGTGTATCACCACCAAAACAAACGGTACCAAACGTGACACCACTCTACCAATTACGAACATCCTCTGCGATGTCCACGCTGCTATTGGTCCAGACAGTGCGACAGATTCTCAATTTCAGTCAATAAAAGACCAGAATCTCCATCCAGAAGTGATAGATACGCCCATTCCTTTGCCCATACCCGACCCACCACGTGTCTTCATGAGTAAATAATAAATTTTAATTAATATATAAATGACACTTTAAAAAAATAGTAAAAAATAATTTATTTAATAAATGTATTCAAAAGTCACTATTTCTCCCCCAAAGGAAAGAAACACATTTTTGTCCCTGTGTTTTCTTTTCCAGTAAACCATAATCAAAAGTCACTCCTTCAGGTCTAAGGCAAATAATTTGAAATTCATCATATTTCAGTTATTAAGGTTTTTGCCATTTTACAAGGATCAAAAGGAAGGAATGGAGATATATTTATGACTTACTTTACCAGTTCGTGTTTAAAACTCTCTCTCTCTCTCACACACACACACACACACACACACACACACACGTACTTTTGCTAAGATACTCGTGCATTATCAAGCATGAACGTACCTTTTAGCTTACCTCTTACTAAATTCAGAAAAATGAAATAAAAAATATAAAAAAAATAAAATAGATAAATTGGATACAAGAGATTTTGTTTGTCATATAAATGCCACGTCTTTAGTGAGTTGAAATCACCTAAATATATAGACCAATATACGTAAGTGCTTCCGTGTTTATTTCATGAGAAATTAATTCACTGGAGAACAGGGGCCGTCTTTACCAAATTGTGAACATATAACGCTGCAAGATGAGAGAGAGAGAGAGAGAGAGAGAGAGAGAGAGAGAGAGAGAGAGAGAGAGACGATGTTAATTCTTATAATTCTCTTCTAAAAACCATACAATAATCCTGGTTCGACTTTTACAGCACATTTTCAACACCGTGGTTTTAGACTGTTAACAAAACACACTTAAATAAGCAAAACCTCATTCCCTCGACCCTGTCCTGTTATCTACTGTCCTGTAACTAGTTTGGGTCACTAGAGAAACAATTTTATAGGGATAGTCTTGGCAAACACATGGGAAAAAGGTTGTGGGTGAATCATAAATTTCGAGTTACTCTTTTTCACTGTCGACATAAATACGTAACTTATCAGACATATAAGCTTCGATGACAATTTTGTAACACAAGTGGTTTATCCTCGATGACGTCCTAGGCAGCTACTGTACCTACTCGGGAAGGTCTTAGTTAGTGAATCTCGATATCAGAATTTTTCTTGATATTTGAGGTAATATCTATAATAATGTGTCGTTTAATAGAATGCAGAGGATACAAGATTGGAAGAAATTTAGGTATGTTTTGATACTTAAGAAATTTCAATAGGTATCAAGGAGGATATCTTCTCTTATGTACCGCAAGAACTCGAGTGTGAAGCTGTCGTTTAAATATAGCTACCACTCGACCTTTGAAGTTGCCCCGCCTCTATAAATTATTTAAAGCTTTTCTGATCTCGAGTATCAGGTATAATTAAAAGTCGGATTCTTCAATTTGAGTACCGGCGGTGACTCCTCAACCCCATGATGAGAACGAGACACATTTTACAAAAACGAATGGAAAACGGTATCCGACGATCTACCTGCCTGTTCTTTATTGTTTTTGATATATATATAATCCTTTGCTACAACCGAATCCTGTAAGTACCAAGTCATGTCATGCAACAGACAACAACCATAAACAGTTTAGAAAGATATATCTGTCTGTCCTCTAACGCGGGCTACCATGGTCTTGGTCTCCATCTTTGAGGTCTTTACTGTTCTCAAACTGAAGACCCTTGATGTCAGTCTTTACCGAGATAATAAGACTCGCTGCTCATGATTTAAACAATACTAACTCTTGATAATCTACTGGGACAATCTGTTTTTAAATCGAGTACATCACAATACTCTGTAAATATATGAAGATAAAGTCCACGTATAAAAATTGGACTCTTATAACTGGGTCAAGCAACTCTCCTGTTCATCTAGATGTTCAATGTAAAAAAAGGAGAGTTTCTCTATAACACAGGAGTTCTGATTGAGCTTTGAACGTTCTCTGGTTACTTTTGTAAATGAACGTACGTATAGTATCTTTGTTTTGTTTGTAAATAAGCGTAATTCAGTCTTATCTGGGTTACGTTTATAAATGGGATGGTATTCCAGTCTGTATTTACACTATGTTTGTATATAGACGTACTTGGTTATGTTTGTAAGTGAGTCTTCACTATAAATAGAAGCTCATCAATAAAGACACAGTTTTGTATTTTTCTAAAAGTTTGTGTGAAATAAAGATATTAACTTGTTGTTACAGTACGATTCTTATTTCTCCTCGTTGTCAACACGCTCTCGGGAGTCATTCTCAGTTGTCTGCATACCCGAGACCCTGTTACGCATCCACTTAAAACCCGCATCGTGTAGCAGCAAGAGGTCAACTGTTCGACTGTGTTTTTGATATTTTGAGGGAGATCTTGGAAAAAATAGACATTAATGAAGGAGATATTAGAATTCTAAAAACCCTTACTGATAACAGGAGGCTGCAGTGTTAGTAAATAATGAAATTACTAATTGGTTCAAAGATAAACAGGGAGTAAGACAAGACTGCGTTCTATCTCCAACATGGTATAATATATATTCACAATTCTGAATGAGAGGAGTTAAAAGTAACAATGAAGGACTAAAAGTTAATGGTAAAGTAAAATGTTATAGGAAGGGCCAGTAAGGACGGATCAGCCAATACTCTTTGTACAAACATCCATCCTTGTGAGCTGCTCTTCCTCAACAAGCTAAACCACCCTCACGCTTGTTACACCTTGAGCTCCCCCCCCCCCCCCCCCTGCCGGTGTTTGGCCCTATATAAAGAGAACCGGCTGGCTTACCCGGCAGTCTCTACCAGAAATTCGCATTGTCCGGAGTCCAGACGTGTGGAGCCCTTACATGGGTCGCTTGTGAACTCTCGTGTTGTGGACCTGAGGAATCGACTGAGTGTCAACAGAGATCTCTACAGAACCTTAAGTATTGTACAGTGTTGTGAATTATTATTTTCTAGTCTGGTATCACCCTAATTATGCCTGGCTTTACTCCTATGTGGTGTTGTGTTTAATGCTGAGTTTTGGCCCAAGTTTATGTCGGGTGTTGTACCTGTGTCACTGTCTCGCTTACTGTTAGTTATATTTACCGAGTGAACGTGTGAGAGTTCATAACCATTTACGGTTTGTTGGGGAACTTAAATTAGTAGAAAATTTTGTGTATTTGGGAAGTTGGATTAACAGTGATGGTAGATGTGCAAAAGAAATCAACAAAAATTACTAAAATATTAAAAATTATTGTAGCAATTCTCATCAAACAGTAAAATCCTCATATACTTCCGGGTACGTCCTCGTGAAAGCTCAAATGACTCAAATTTTACCAGAATCTTGTTACAATCTGTGTGTTCGTCACCCGAGGACGGTAAACAAAGGTGCAAACATGAACCCTTAACAGCAGATGTAAACACCGATGGCGCCATGTTGAACAGTAATACTAACTGCATTTCCTTTTCTTAGTTATCCTCTTCAGATTAGATACTGAAAGGTATACAGTAAATACACATGATTATTTATTCACAAAATAAATAATATTTTTCATTTATGTATAATTGATGCCGTCATGGTATAGAGATAAATACAAGTTCCATTGCCTGGTACCTGTGAAGAATGCTCCACACACCGCCACAGCTGTTGAGTGAGTAAGTCGTTTTTCACGTTGTCATCTATTATCAAGTATGAGTTCTGTAATTTACGATTCGTGTGTATAAGAAAATGTTCCCTGACTCCCCATACAAATACCAGTTAGGATGGAATATCAAGTAACACGAAAATGGCTTGACTTTATCGAGTGTCGGCGAATGGGAAAGTAGATTTATTGACTGAATCAGAGAATAACTGTATTTATTAGATAGTGGAGAAATGAGAAATAGATTTAATGAATTACCTAATACACAGAGAAGGAGGGCGTGCGGGATATATAAATTTCCCTAAAAGTTTATAGGAAACGGATTTGTCTACTGCTACAAGAAGAGAGAAATTACAGTCAAGTAGAGGAAATGAGCCACAGTGGTATTAAGACATTAGTTTCAGTCTGAGTAGCAGCGAGGGGAACTACTCTCATTAACCAATACAATAGAGGAAATTACTGTGTATGTTGAGAGGAAATTTAGCCATCAGTTTTCATAAAGTGATGAATAGACAGGTAGAGGGATTTGCTGTATTAATTAGATGAATAATTGGCTTTAATGATCAGCACAGGTGGGAGAGTGGGGAGGGGGGAGAGGGGAGGAGGGGTGGTAAGGGGGTGGAGGGGTACTAAGGGGGTGGAGGGGTACTAAGGGAGTGCAGGGGTGGTAGGGGGGCTAGAGAGGTGGTAGGGGGTGATTTAATCGACTGATATGCAGGGTTGAATGGGCTCACTGATTGACGCAAATGAGGAAATAAACTTGTATGGTCATTTAGTGTGGAAAATGAACTTATTGACTGACGTAAATTAGGAAATAAACTTAAACGCTCATATAATATAGATATAAAAGGAATTATTTACACATTGAGGAAATATAACTTTTTGGTTGGCGTAAAGATTAATTAAACTAATGACAAAACTTTACGACTTTCACAATAATGGAATAAATTTACGAACTAAAGAAAATCATAAAATACCTGTAAATTCTGAATAACAAAAGTATGAAAATATGTGTGAATATGTGTGTGAATATGTGTGTGTGTGTGTGTGTCGTAACATTTGATGACTCCTTTAATATTCGAGAAAAAAATAAGTTTAATATAATATTTAATAGGAGTGCTGGCTCGTAAAATAACATAATTACGTATAAAAGAAGATAAATGCAAGGAAGGAATGAAGGAAGGAAGGAAGGAAGGAAGGAGAGTGACGAGGAAAGAGAAGAGATTGACAGATGGAGAGAGAAAGAGAGAGAGAAAAAGTCAGACAGACGAACACACAGACACACACTCAACAGGGAATGAAATTTACTCTCCATTACCTGTGAAGGGGAAGAACAGACTAACTTACTGTTCGACAGAGGTTAATTAAACACAGAATAGAGAAGAAAGATAACAAATAATATGAAGATAATATGAATAACTATGGGAAGATAGGGGAGATAATGAGATAGCGACAGATAATGAATGATAATGGCAAACAATAGTGAAAGACACGAGTAATGAAGGAGGAGGTGTAGGAAAATAGAGATTATGAAGGGAATGATGTAGGGAGCGATAGAGGATAAAGGGGGAATTAGAAATGACATGGGTAATGAACCTGGGGAATTGAACAAAACATGAATGATGATGAGGGGTTGTAGAAGACATGAATAATGAAGGAGGAAGTAGAGAAAGACAAATATGATAAAGGGGGAGATGGAAGATGGCACACAATAATAAAAAAGAGGTGGAAGAAGACA